GTACCTTGGAAGAGACGAAAGACTTCATAGAGCTGGGCCCGTGCTTGCGCTTCTGGAGAACAGTGAATGGTGAGCCATCTGGTCCATCCACTTCCTCTGGCTCTTGCTCCTCCGCAATGGAAGGAGGAGGCTTCACCCTTGGTGACGATAGGATAGCTTGAGATTGCTCTGACGACTCTCGGTGGACAGTAATGTGGGCATACTGTGCTTCCGATGCTGTGCTACCATGCTTGGGTGACCGGTATGGGTCATAGCTCGCCATAGTACCAGACGACATCGGTTCCTTGAAGGGGCTGAGGTGACGAGGGAACTCTTTAACAGATGGGAACTGAGCGCGATGCTTGGAGCTACCCTGGCCCGTCTGACTGCGGCCTCGACGAACTCTACCACCGGGGCGGGAGATGTGGTGATAGTCACTAGCTGAGTACTCTAGAGGCTGTCCTTGGTAGTTCTCCAGCTGCTCATCGCGAAATTTTGCCAAGGCGTTGTAGAACATCCGCTCGTGGGTTGGTCTGGTTGGGGTTTATTAGCGTCACGGAAGTCGTTTTGAAAATTAGCAGGTGGTACTTACTCGATGCATAGGAGCCTTTGAATCAGCTCCTCGGCCTTGACATCATGCCACAAAGTCTGCAAATTGCGAAGGATATCGAGATCGATGTCCTGCTGACAGGCCAGTGTTTGGCCACAGTCCTTCACTGACAGGGCAGGAGGAGGACCGACGTAGTGATCAACCATGGCATTGTGAAGCTTTTCATATTTGGTCAATAGTGGATGCAACCAAATGTTCTTCATAGATATCCGATCCTCCGGGCGCTTTTGGAGGATACGCTGGATGAGATCGGCTGCTTCATCACTCAACTCGGGAGGAATGATGTAGTCTCCTTTCTTCACAAGCCGCAGGGTGCTTCCCAAATCCCCTCCATCAAAAGGCAAGTAACCAGTCAAAAGTGCATAGAGGATGATACCACAGCTCCACATATCAGCTTTGTCTCCACGATATTTTCGGCCATAAATGATTTCCGGTGCTGCATAATGCGGGCTACCACATGAGGTGTTCAACCAGTGGCCTGCAGGTTGCAGTGCGGCCATACCAAAATCAGCAAGCTTGACATTATGGTTTGAATCAAGCAAGATGTTTTCGGGCTTCAAATCGCGGTGACAGATATTGAAACGATGGCAATACCCAAGGGCCGCAATGATCTGTCGGAATAGTCGCACGGCCTCCTCTTCCGGTAGTGGTCCATTGTTAGATACATAATCAAACAACTCTCCACCCTCGACGTGTTCAAGGACAAGGTACCTATCTATTGCGTTAGTGTATTTTCAATTCTGAAGATGGTGTGGACAAACAATTCTCCACGGTTTTCCCAAACATCATAGAGACTAATCACATTCGGATGTTCAATCAACTTCATGATGACCACTTCACGTTCAATTCCACAGGGCATTTGTCGGGTGGCTGAATTGGTAGGGAAGTTTCCCATATTACGGTCCATTGCTGCGATACTCTCACTCTGAACCATAGCAGCTGACTTTTTTGAAACAATCTTGATAGCGGCCGTGTGTCCGGTGACAGCATGCTTGGCCAGTCTAACCCGCCCAGTAGCCCCCTTCCCCAGTGTTCGTCCCAGCTGCCATGGTCCCACGTGCGTTTTTCTCTTCCCCTTGGTTGACAGGATGGATGCCGCAGACATAATGGAGTTCCGTGCTGAGTTGGGCTGCAGGTCGGTGGCCACGGAGAGGCGCTCATTTTCCTTGTTCCTTTGCGGGGTTGGGGTCATAGGGAAAGACATCCGGTCAGGACTCTTCAGCTGCTCGGATTCCTCGATCTTCAAGCACGGTGTCTCGACATTTGGCGACTTGGAGTGGTTCATCCGGCTCGACACATCTCTTAAGGGCTGACGCCTCCGCTGAGAGTCATTAACGTCCAACATTATCTGGTCCATGGTAGAGGTATTGCAAGGTGTGTTGGTGTGTTTTCCCACGTCCCCTCAAAGTTGGGGGATTAGTCGACAATCTAGAACCCCCATTAGCTGACCCTTCAACGTCAACAATGATATCAATACTCAACGCACGGAAAATTAGATCAAACGCAGGAAAAAAAAGTACAACTCCTTCCGAGTTTCAACGAAAAGAAGTTAGGTGTAAAGATCGGCTCCAGACTTTTCTGGGAAAGAAAGAAGAAAACAAATTAAAAAAGTGACAAGGACTGGTCAACACCACATCATCGACGAAGATGCGGGAAAAAGAAGAGAAAGGACCTGAAGCGACAAACCTGTAGCGACTGAAATTGAGATGGAAACACAAGACGGAAGAAAACAAAGGATCGGAACTGCCAATGTTCATGAAGGACAAGAGGTTGGCTTGCATACTTCGGCTGGACTGGAATGAGAGAGGTTCCTTCCTTCCCATCGGAATGTCCCTAAGCACTGTCTATTGTTGTTTACTACATATCTATGTGCTTGTTTGACTCCAAGTAGGCATGTTTGCCTGTTTTTATTGTTGGACTTGACCTATCAGCGTCGTGACGAGGCAGAACCGTTCAAAATTCTATCTATTCACACTTCACACCTCTCCGCTCCCGGGACTGGCTCCTATATGAATCGATTCTTTCTTCCTTTCTTTTTGTTCTCTTAATTATCCTAGGTACTGACTCAAATTACTATGTATTGAACTGTTTGAACTTGTATAATTCTCATTGTCAACATCAATTGCGATCGACGGGGGGAGATCGCATTCCCCAAGGAAGGGGGATAATAACAAATCAATTCTCAAACCCAGGGCTACTAACCATTTTATTTGTACGGGAGTCTATGTGTGTTGTATGTGTGTTGATCATTCCATACCCCTAAGCTCTTCATGTTCTAATCTCCAGCTCTTGGTGTCAAATCAAGAGCGCGGATAGAGCTGCAAAGCATATGCTTCTTACATCAAACTTATATAGAGCTCCACAGTAATATGGTAACAATCACACCCTCAGGTCAAATTCGACTATTCAGATACACTTGCATGCATCGTAACATCACCAATGCTGCTCACTAATATGTACATCGTTCACATTAACCCCATCTGCAAACCATCGCCCTTCACCATTACCTTCCGGTCCGATCAGGACATCATTTCCACTCATCATACGTTTGCGCATCTTTCCTGTCTCATCAAAAGTCCAATATTCCAATCCATAGCACCGCTTCCAGCGCATTCCATCTTCCACGTCCTGGAACTCATACCAAAACTGCACAGCGATGCGATCATCCTGGAAAGCGAAAAGTTCCTTTCGAAGTCGCTAACTACGCGCGCGTTTCCATTTCGCTTCCAAGAACGCGACAATAGACTCAGTCCCGGTAAAGAACTTGTCTCGAACACGCCAGATACATGTTGGGGTGTACCCTTGAGCGACTCGGGTAGGGTCCCTAATCGCACATGGTCAGAGCGGGCGATGAAATCACTACGTCATCTATTTTCGCAAATCAATAGCAATAGTCCATCTCAAGAACGCAAGATAAACCCTTCCCGTTTGAGGTATGCTCGCATATTTCCATGGTGATCCGCACAGACAAACAATACGAGTCGACAAGAATGCAAGGGATGAAACCTTCAATCCCCTTCTTTCGAACACATGGTCTGTCAAGGGCCATAGAAATAGGAAATCCTAGACGTATTCCACATATCCTGCGCAGCTTTGACTTTTTCCTGCGCAGTCTCCTCATTAAATGGGGGTTTGAGATCTGCCATGGTGGGAGTTTCAGGGGATATGGAATCAAGAGTTTGTCTTCAAGTCAGATTGCGATGTTGAGAAGCTTTGCCCCTTCCAAGCCTCCCGAGGTGGTCCTGGGCAGGACCCGTAAACCCGTGGACAGCTTTAGTCATCTCCACGTAAGGCTGTACAACGTTGCCGGGGCCTGAGCATAGTGGGCTTTGTCGCCTACTGCAAATAAAACTTCCAAGTTTGTGCATGAAGATAGTTTTATGAGTAATTTTTATACGATACGTTTGGGTTTAGGCCAAAATTATACATTGATTTGGCTGGCAAATTCTTAGCCATATAACCGGCTCGCCGATATCATACTATCAAAAGATATATACTTTTGACTCATGATATCTGATATAGGTCTGTTTAATAAATAAAGCAATGTCTTCTCACTATTCATGCTCAAAGGATAGGATATTCGCTTGGCTGTTTATAATTGGCGTTTGGCTTATTGTTGTAACAAATGCGAGAACTATATATTTGTGTCCTGGCCACAAGCCAGCCCACCACTACGTCCAAAAAAACATAAATCTTAAGCTAGATATTTATTTGAGATAGAAGATAGATAGATAGATGTTAAAGTACAATGGTTTTATATCAGACAACTACATGTTGATATGTGTTACTTTATTTATGATCGTTGTGGCTTGGAGCTCCTAGTAGCGCCAAGCCACAGCATCAGACGAACTATGTTTAGAGCATGATTCACAAGGCCCGAGAGTAGGAACATAAACATCTTTTCAACTTTCAGGTTCATTGTAATTCTCACTTATGACAGTCAGGCCTTTGTGGATAGAAACACGATCATGTATTGGTGGTCGTCGTAAAGTGATTCGACCCAAGGGGCTTGTTTTGCTGGTGCGACTTGGGGACATTCGAGATCAAAGGCTCACCGTGCCTATGCTCACACAGTATATCCGTGTTACTGACCATCATCCTCTAGGCTTGTAATTCTAATAGTTCTTCCATCGGTCCGCCTACCAAGCTCGGAGCGGACGATCAAAGAAGGGAAACTGAGCTATTCTTGAACCAATAAAGTTTTCTGGCTTTTCACATTTTGTTTCTTTTACTGTTAGAGATATGCGGGTCCAATAGAGATTACGGAAGAGTATCTGACATCAGGATGAGTCGTTCATCAGGTAGACCTCAACTTTAAGGATAATCTTCCCCCATCTCTCTATTCTCTATACCCGAGACGATAACCTAGTCTCAACTAGCATACGGCTTCTGCGGTCAACAAAAGCTCAACATGCAATCTGCGGACAAGCCGACTCGATCAGAAATTGACTTGGCCTTGCCTGGAGAGAAAACTCAAGATGAAATCAAGATCGAAAAGAGTGGAGATATTGATTCTCTTCAACGGTATCGGTGGAACATGGTTAGAAAAGCGCCATCCTATGTTGGTAGAGCGATTGAGCTTCTCCGGATAGAACAAGACCTCCGAAATACTGTCCAGGAAGAGCAATGCCTCGCCAAGAAGCCTGAGGCCACAGGCAGCTGGCCACTCTATAGGAATGATGTACAGGCCGTGCTTCAGGCTTTGAAGAAGAGATATTGGTTGCTGGAACTCCAGTGGTGGAAAGTCCGAAACTCATTCGTGGAGGGGCCACTGATAAGAGCATTTGATCTGTGGCGATCACATCCTCTCTGGTATATGCACCGAGTTTTGTTCGAGGATTGCGTGAGGAAGGGGGGATGCTGTAGCCGTGGCTGTGGATGTTGCGCTGATCGCAAGATTGATAAAACACGACAGCTTGGAGCTGGACATTGTATGGTGGAATGTGGATGTTGTCACCAGGCTCGGGGGTTTGAGCTTACCAAAAAAGAAAAGGAGGAATTCCTTAGGGATTTCCATATCGTGGATGACAATAGCTTTTACCGCCAAAGGGTCAATCGAGCTTCGATATGGGGGTTATCTCTTGACAGTCATGACAGCCCTTTTGATCTGATTGTAATGCCCCCAGGATACGAGAGCGATGTTTCAAAAGAGCAGACGAGAAGAGGCAAGGCGGACCAATTCGATGAGCCATTCATGCTTATTGACGAAGAGGACGAGGAAGAAGTTGTGGTACCTTAAGTGTCAGTGTCAGGCCCCTAGGTGCCTGCTTGCTAGTTTGAGGTTTTATTGTGCAATTCAACTCTTTCTTTTGGCTTCGAATCCCCTGATCTAAACTTGCAGTCGTTCCCGAAGTCCAACCTCCACACGCTTCCTTCCTATTTAGGAACATTCGTGCCTGCCATTGTAGTCCTCGTTTCACATGCACCTTCCAATTGCTACTTTACTACCTTGTTACCTTACGTAGAGAGAATTTTGGTTCTGTAAACATCGCAAATCACCACCTTTTCTCACAGTGAGTTATCCCAGCAGTCCTTTTTGAGGTCTTTTTTGCTAACACAGCCCTGTCAGCAGATGTCGGCCGCGAAAGCCTTTCCTGTCGGTGAAAACCCGTCGCCCAACGATTACTTTGCCCGCTTTGCGGCGTTTTTGGACCGTCTGCTGGCCGCCTTAATCCCCAGCGAGACGAAGGCTTTCTTGTGGGCCCTTTTGGGCATGTATGTTTGTTTGCTGGCCGTATGGCGCCTTGACGCCCTCCTGGAGAGGTGGTTTGACTAGTATGCACTACTTACATCAAACCCTATGATGTTGGATACTAATAAAAATTACAGCCACTACCCCCTCCCAAACCCGGCCCAGGCCCCGGCCCAAGGCGCGGCCCAAGGCGCGGCCCCAGCTGCCGCTCAAGGCGGAGATTAGGAGGTAAGTCCATTGTCCATTCTGCGTGTACTAAAATATAGATATCATACTATTGATTGAAAATATATATACTTATATATTATTACGACGAGATTCCTTATGTTTGTGGATTCCTTTTCTCTTTTATTGACGCATTGGATTGTCTGGAAGTGCTAACAAATCATGCTATAGATTGGATCAAGTTTTTTTTTTTATACATAATATGCGGGCTCTCACTTTATAATTACGGAGAGCAGGTTCCGAAAGAATTCAACAAACCATTATTACTTCGTGCTAGCTCTGACCTTCTTCGTAGCACGTAATGAGGATGAGATGCCGACAATATTGTATACATATAGTCAATCCACATGTGTGGCACAGAATGAATGGAAACCAAGTGGAAACTGAGGATCTAGGATAGTTTATATTTGGAACAAAGATATCAACAAATGCATTGCTCTCAATCTCAATTGCACCATGCATAGACCTCTTTGTCTCAGACAAGGCAAAATCCAGGATGAAAGAAATCCAAATCCAATTTGGATGTTATTCATTTCATTGAGCTCCACAGCTTTTTGGAATTCTACAAGTATATAGGTTTTCTTCCAAACCCGTGTTCTATAACAGCCTTCTCCACCCAAGGCTAGTATCGCAAGTATCTACCCCGGAGCTCTACCATTTTCAACAAAATCACCCATCATGTGCAAAATTCGTTATAAATGGTACCGCGGCCACTGCGGCATCAGTGGCTGTGGGCATACAGAAGCAGTGTGGATCGAGCGCTGTAAAGAAGCGAATTCCCGCGAGAGACAAGTACCTTGCCCCAATCCACGTCCCATCCTCCGTATCACCGAGGCTTTTGCGATGGGTCTTTGTCGTCCCTGTCTTGGTTGGGGTGTGTTGATTCCGGGAGCTCCTAAATTGGTTAACCCTGAGCGGGTCGATAGGCCTCGTCGACGGCACTACAATATTGACTCGTCGACTTCATAGTTTGACTTCTAGCGTCTGGAACGATTCATGAATAAAATGCAGCTGTCTTACTTTTGAAGGACAGACTAGATTTAGGTTGAATTTTTAAAGTTTGTATGTTTGGAAAGAGTTCGATTGTACATCGTAGGCCTCGGTCGACGTCAAGGAGTCCAAGTCAGTTTCGGGGACCAGGAATTATTGGGCGATGGTGAATATATCGATTTGCCTTTTCGTCCTTGATGAAACTTCTTCACAGCCTAGACAAGGGTTGAGGTGAAGTCTCCGACACTTTCTGGGCCTGTAATGCAGTTTGCTGACCACTCGTTCCCTCTAAGAGATTTACGACCAGTGGTCCCACCATAGACACCTTAGAGCTTGGTACCAGATTTCCTGATAGCAGTATAACTGAAGAAGATGCTTGTGGCACGTATTCCACAAAGGAATTCGAGTCGGTGCTGGTATAGCAAGAAAGGGGTATGGCCAAGGAGTCGGGCGCATGCAGCTGACCAGATGAATCGTCATCCCTAGCCCCCGCTTCAATAATGACGAGCGACGAGGGATAAAATCCATTCCTTGTGCGGATACCAGCGTTCTTTTTGCCGGCCAATGTGCTCACGTAAACAATTTGGTCGACTTGCTGTCCCAGGAAAAATCGCACGCCTGCATCTTGTGCTGCACGATAGACCTATATTTCAATCGCATAGCCATCAGCAATTATTCTATTCCCCCTTTTTTTTTATGGAAAATAAACGGCTTTTAGGGGCACGCTACATTTGTCAAGTTTCCGAAAGGGATATAATCATCTTTTGCGAACACCGAGACATTTGTGTAGCCTCGTAGAGAAAGATGTAGTGCTACTGAGAGGCCGCAAGCACCGGCGCCGACAATAATAATAGAATCTGATGTGGAAACGCCCATGGTGAAGTGAAATCAAGTGCATTTCCTTATTTGTGGGCTATTTGAGCTGATATAGTATTCTCCCCGCATTTCCCCCAAAGCAGTTATAATATACGGAGTTGGAGAAAAGTGCCTTTGCAAGATAAGAGCTGAGGGGAAACTATAACCGGGAGGACTCCCGATGTTTCTCCAATTCTATGTTTCTATATCTCCTATATTTTACTATTTAAACTATGGATTGTATGCTTGCCTGGAAGCCTCGAGGTTTTTAACCGCATAATTCATAAAAAAAAGGGCTGTTGAATCCAACACTTATAGTCAATTAGCTGGAGCCGATGTATCCAGCTACCGAGTACTTGAAACCTGCTGCAGGAGGAATAAATGCAAATAAGCATAGCATTTGGAGAAAAAGCACTCTTTAAATGTCTTGAAACATCCTGAAATATCATGAAACTCATGAAGCTCATCCATCCTCGGTTTGAGCGGGGTATGGAGTTCTCCACACTCGGAAGCGTCCCCGATGGGCTTCAAATTTCAAAACTTGCTGTCTTTTGCTTTTGCTTCCTTCAAATAATTTACTTGTTTACTTGATTTGAATATTAAATCATGGATATCCAAAACGGAACTCTTTGCATCCTAGGCTGTGGTAAGTACGCAAGCCCATACGCAAAATATATCGACTAATGCTCCAACTTTGTAGGAAACCTGGGCATTGCCATCCTAGACGGATTGGTCAATGCACCCGCGGAGAAGTCTAAAGAGCTACCATTTGCTCGATACACAGCATGCGTGCGCAGTGAAAACTCAGAGAAGAGACTATCCGAGCGATTCACCGACTCCTTGGACAAAATAAGCATTTCTCGCGGCAACAATGTACAGGCCGTACAAAACGCCCATGTGATTATTCTAGGCGCAGACCCCGCCGATATCGAGACCGTCCTGACGCAACCTGGGCTTTGCGAGGCGTTGACAGACAAGCTTATCATCAGCATTGCAGCCGGCTGGACAAGAGAAAGGCTCGAAGCCACACTATACGGCACCGCAACCACCACCGATAACACAGCTGGCAGAGCCTGGGTGGTGCGCACATTGCCGAACATCGCAGCCCAGGTGTCTCAATCACTTACGGCTATTGAAACATCAGAGCCTGCATTGCCCGAACGGTATCTCCAGATAACGACGTCGATTTTCGAACAAATCGGCAAGGCAGTACACGTTGATCCGAGGTTGATGAATGCCACTACCGCGGTCGGAGGCTCAACGCCGGCTTTCTTCGCTGTCATTTGCGATGCAATGATTGATGCCGCGGTGGCGGTTGGTATGCCACGGGACCTGGCTCATACCATGATCTTCCAGTCAATGCAAGGGACGGCAACGATGCTTCAGAGTGGTATCCACCCCGCCCTGTTGAAGGATCAAGGAACGTCTCCCGAGGGCTGCACGATTGGCGGGTTGATGGTTATGGAAGAGGCTGGTGTGCGTGGACATGTTGGACGGGCGCTTCGGGAGGCTGTTACTTTGGCTCGTTTGATGGAGTCGACACCCCATGTTAATGATACGAGACATTAACCTGCTATTCTGGGAGTCAATCGACATGAGTGCAGTGGATATCGGGATTGCTGTTTCTATCACTAGGATTGAACCTAAAGACAGCCTTCAATATCATGCACATATTAAACATTGCATCCAACAAAAAAAGAAATATATTATTTGCAGTCGCAATCGATCACATTTCGGGACCACCACAAATATCCTTGAAGACATCAAGAGTATGTTCTTAGACAAACCCACTAGTCCTGTCCTCGCGATAACTCTTAAAACCATTCTGAAATATAAACATTAGAACCTTGGAACATCTGTGACGACTCCTGACTCCTGACTTCTGAGAAAGTGACCAAATATCCACAGCCATCTATAACAAAAGGAAATTGACTATTTCACCCTTCTCTACTTGTTGCAGTATCGTGTAATCCAAACTCTGTATGCAAATCCTCCGTGAGCTCCAGTTGCTTAATGGGTATACAAAGAAGCAACCCGATACCACCGAACGGGACCGAAATCCACCAAACCCATCGCAAACTATCTTGATAGACACTGAGCACTTCCGCCATAAGGTTCGGGGTATTTTGCAAAGTACGCATCAGTCCTTCGCTGGCCATGGCATATGCACCACCATTAGCAAGTTTTGCGCGCAGAGACACATCACTGACGCGATACAGCAGCTCCTGGACACGTGCATTGAAGATAGTGGTTGGAACCACAATACCCCATATGCAACCAAAGCTGCGCATAAACGCCCAGGTGGAGGTTGCAGTGGCCACGTCGGACTCGGGTAGCGATGCCTGGATCGGAGGTAGCGTGCTGGAGAATATCATACCAGAACCAGCGCCGAAGAGTATCTGGAAGCCAGCCCAGTCGCGAGCGGGTGAATGGTCATCTAGGAGCGAGAAGAGGCCACTGGCGATCGTGAGGAATATATATCCCAGGAAATGGAAGACGCGGTATTTGCCAGTCATGGCGATGATAACTCCCGTGATGATGCCAAAAGGCGCAATTGCGGCAGTGATAGGAAGAACGTATAGCCCGGATTCAGTGGCAGTCGAGCTACGTATAGCCTGGAAGTAGACTGGCAGGAAATATCCGACCCAGTACAGCAGGATAGACTGAAGAAAAGCAATCCACAGCGCGCACGTCCCAGTTCCACTCGAGAATAGCCGGAGTGGAATCGAGGGCTCAGCACAGAATCGTGACATTTGATGACCGTAGAAAAGGAACAGCCCCCGAGCCCTAGGATAAGAGGTAAAATAACTCGCCACGAAGACCAGGCGTATGTTGTTCCAGCCCAAGTGAGGGCGAGCAAAATCGAGATAACGGCGGCTGTAAGGATAGAATTACCAACGAGGTCCACGCGCTTGAGCTGGTGCCACACTGTACCACTGCTGGGCGGGTGTGTGACTCGAAGAAACAGCACTAGCAGTAGAAGTGACGCAGCACAAAGCGGCAGGTTGATATAGAAGACCCAACGCCACGAGACATACTGGGCGAATGCGCCGCCTAGAACGGGGCCGATCACCGTTCCCACTGCCCACACAGCTGCCATGAGCGCGACATATTTACCTCGCTGGCGGAGGGGGACTAGGTCACAAATGACGATATCCACGAGGGTGTTAATACCGCCGCCACCGATGCCTTGAATTGTTCGTCCCGCAATAAGAAGTCCAGTGTTCTTTGCACCACCGGCCATTCCACTCCCCAAGGCAAATATGACAACCGAGATGATCAGCATCCATCGCCGACCGAAGATGTTGGCGGTCTGTCCAAACAGTGGCAGGACAACCGTCGATGATAGTATGTATGAGTTCGTAATCCACATGTATAGCTCGCCGGCATCAACATCGAGGGCGATTGTGGGAAGGGCGGTCGAGAGAATGGATGTATCGAGGGCCGAGAGGAAAGTCGTCATGCATAGTGCTGGGAACACGGCCCAGAAGCGCCATGTTTTCTTTAGAGTGAGATGGGCATTATTAGATTGCGTTGGTGCTTCCTGGTGCTCATGATGTTGTTCTTCTGCTGGTGCGCGAAGAGGCTCCTGTACAGCTAGTTCAGTCGTCGGCGATGGCTTTTCCATGGCTTTTCCATGGCTTTTCCCTCGCCGGTAAATATACTTCTGCCATGGTATAAATATGTCATGAAATCAGAGTGACATTAGGGCATGGATATGGAGCTCACACTTAAATCCCCGAACTCCGGTCCCCAAACCCGCTCCACGGGAGATTCCTGTTGATCTTTGTCCAAAGGAAGTTAGAGGCATTATACGGGCCCGGGAGCGATCTGGCACTAAGCGCTATTCTGCTTGACAGGATGACTAGTGGCGCTAGGTCACCAATGATATTCTGGTACTGGCAGTCACGGTGGGTCCCAGGAAGACGGCATTAGCAAAAGTAGAAGGCGGTGAATATTGATTCAAATTTCGATGCCCTAAACCGATACGAGATACGGAGTACTCCGTACGGAGACTTTGCTCATCTTTGTTTGATGAAAGACGGCAGATTAACCCGAGACATTTCCAATGCCCCCTATCATGTTAAAGAGTTGGCTGAACCCGCCAAAAAGCCTTCCCGCTGCAGTCAGCTTACCCATCTCCTGATGCATAGTTCCCAGGGAACTTCTTATGACAGATTACTGCCTAACGCTTCTGATCCGACAGTGGACACGGATTTAAGGAGTAGAATTGATTGGGTTTGGAGACGTATGTGCATAACTATGGCCCCCTACGTGCAGTGGCGTCGTAAGTTGTTGACCAATAGCCTATACATAGTACATTGTGCTTTGGTATTAGGAGAACCCCTGGAATAAACAAAATATGTCAAAGGGAGCAAGAGAACATTTAGATGCCGTCATTTCCTATATAATGAAAAGATCAACCGCGTGGATTCTGGCCGGCCTGTTTGTCGCATACGATATTATGTCATCTCCAGCGCTGGTAATAGCCAACACTGCATCTTCTGCTCCGAGATTGAGCAGGCCACTCATCCACTCGAGCATCTTCCCACGTAAAAGTATAAATATACTCGTTGTTGAACTGTGCGTGCCTTTGAAACTGGCAATTCTGATAGAAAAACGAGGGCAGAGGCAGGTTTATAGATTTATTCGCGCAGGTCTCGTTACCGCACCAGTGAGAGTGCGATCCTGGCTCTAGTGGTAGGGGGACTCTGTGGCAAAAGCATCAATTTTCTCGATGATCTCGCGAGGAAGGCCCGAACAGGAAAAGTGTTCCCTATGAAACACGACCCATATGTAGTAGGGATTGCGACCGAGAGAGAAGTTACAGGTGTTGACGTTGAGAACAGTGCCAAATTTTACTCAAGATAGTCTCAGCGACTGCCCTCGGGACCTACCCGGTCAATGTCGAACCATGCGCGCCAGAAGGTCCTCAGGAACCAATTGACATGGCGTCCGAGAAACCCACCACTGTAGCTTCTAAAAGCGAAGTCTACTTTAGACTGGACGTAGAAATCGACGACGTGGTTATAGTTTTGGCGGATGTTGTTGCAAAGCGGCTGGCCAAGCTCATGCATCATTAAGGACATCGATATTAGCCAGCCGTTCTCGCACTTTGGTCTCGATAGTATGTACGGCAGCGAGCTGATCTATTAGCTCAGCCAAAAGTTCGGTGCGGGCATGTCATTTTTGCAACTGTTGGCTCCCTCGTGCTCGCCCAAGAGTCTAGCAGGAACTGTCTTCTTTGATACCCTTAAGACGAAGGCTGCTGCTGCAGAAACTGCGGCGCCTCCTAGCTATCGTGGATGGCACGTCTCATGGAACTTCAAACGGATCTCTTGCGCCTAATGGCGTAGATAGCAGTTCGGCTAGATCCAGATGGAAAGTTCTCCCACCAAACTCATGACCACAGTCGCCATCATGATCTGTGTCGATCACGGGCAGATCTCCATCGATGATGATATAACCCCAATCCTTCCGGACCTGTGTGCTCTTCTGGTTCTGGATGGTGTCAGATCAGAGGGCCAATGCCTGATAAAACCCAGAGCTAAGTCTATTACTCTTCGGTTGCTGATAAGCCATCAAAGCGGCTGTGGCTATCACCCAAGTCCTCGGCTGGCAAGATGGGCGAGACAGAATGGCAAGACTAACAGCGTCTTTGACAATGACTTTGTAAGTCTTTTTCTCTTTTTCTTTTATGTATACTGCAAGTATCGAGGTGCATTTAACACACCCCACAGGAAGGCATGAAGACCTACCCACTCTTCTTTGAGCTCGGAGAGGGCTGGGTGTATGGCTCTGGCACCGACTGAGCCGGCGAGACCATCGCGCGAATCAACAATACCACACTCGAGGAGTTCATGCGATCCAACATCTGGGAGCCACTAGTTAGACATGGCCTAAGCGACCTTCTATCCCGAGTTGCACCCAGGCATGATGGACCGCCTCGTCAGATGTACGATCGCATAGACGACAAAGGGCTAGAGCGCGGCGCCTGGCTCTCGCAAATCCCAGCTCAGCATAACTGCGGTGGCCCTGGTCCGTGGTCAACACCGCGCGATTGGACGAAGTTCCTTGGCATGGTGCTCGCAGACCGTGGATCCATCCTCTCCAAAGCCAGTATCGATCAGATCTCCAACGCGCAGACTATTGGCTCGAATGACCTTCAGGAGCTGCTGACGGGCCCACTCTGCGCGTCCCTACGCTCCAAGGTTGACATGGATGCCGGCCGCATTGGGTTGATCAGCGAGTTTGAAATGGCGGTATATGCAGAATTTACTTAGCCGGGGGTATGATGTGACTCAAAGGCATTATCCTGGAGAATCATTTAGTCTGAAATGTTCAATTTCTCATACAAAGTACACAAAATGAATTGATATGCATGGATATGCGGTGTAGCTAAGGTGTAACTAATAACTAGTTACCTCTATGGCCTAAGGCACCCAGTTACCCAGGCATCCAGTCACATGACCTTAGCATCCCACCTTCTGCCTTAGAGATCAGGCATTTAATAACATCATCCCCCACCTCGGTACCTCATTTTTGGCCAATAACAAAAATGGACTTGGTCTCCAAGAACTCCCGAGAACAGCTAGGAACAACCAGGAATACTAAATCCGAAGCAACTTATCTTAATAGCCGACTTTACACCTGGGCAATGATCCGGGATGACTCATCTCTCATCCGATTCGCCCATTATGAATAATGTAAATCAGATAACGCTCAGTCTCGGCGGTCTTTCTTGATAATCCATGTGGTTCGGTATCTTTCTTCTTCGGATCACCTCACTTCTCTGGTAAGGTAAATTCAGGGGTCCCCACTTCGTCATAAATCCCGATGGGCCGATATGTGTCAGCCGTAGTATTAAATACTTGGACTTCTTCTCTTCCCTCCATCCTCTTCTCGTATCCACAATCTTAACTTCCATCTCTCAATTCAATACTCAATTCAATACTCAAAATGTCTACTAAGGGTTTCAAGTCTGGCGACGCCTTCCCCAAGGACGTGGTGTTCTCGTGAGTTATCGAGTTAAACCCCTCAATTGCGTCCCTCCGGCTAACACGCCACAACAGTTACATCCCCTGGTCTGAGGAGGCTGGCGAGATCACCTCTTGCGGTATCCCCATCAACTACTACGCCTCCAAGGAGTGGGCTAACAAGAAGGTCATCCTCTTCGCTCTTCCCGGTACGTCACCGCTCTTTCGACAAAATTTTCAATTCCCCCTCTCTTCCTATGCCGTCTGCAAGGTTCTCACGCTGACCGCCACTTTGCTCTACAGGTGCTTTCACTCCCGTCTGCTCCGCCAACCACGTCCCCGAGTACATCCAGAAGCTCCCCGAGCTGCGCGCCAAGGGTGTCGACCAGGTCGCTGTCCTCGCCTACAACGATGCCTACGTCATGAGCGCCTGGGGCAAGGCCAACGGTGTCACCGGAGATGATATTGTATGTGATCCATCACCCTCCTTCATCCCTCTTTCCAATCTCTGCCAATTCCCCAAAACAAATAATGGACTCAATTGACTGACTCGTGTCTTCTTTTAGCTCTTCCTTTCCGACCCCGAGGCCAAGTTCTCCAAGAGCATCGGCTGGGCTGACGAGGAGGGCCGCACCTACCGCTACGTGATCATCATCGACCACGGTAAGGTCACCTACGCCGCCAAGGAGGCCGCCAAGAACAGCCTTGAGCTCTCCAGCGCCGACTCTGTCCTCAAGCAGCTGTAAATTCACTCCTGAAAAATAGATTTGGGTAAATGGGCTGGCGCATTGTTTCATGGGTATTGGGGAGTCAGACTGCGGTATTTGTGTTTTGCAAATATCCAGCACTGTTTCTCCCCTCTGCTTTCTGCGGTTTTCCGAATTTTTAGATCGCCCTGTTGCTTGCTCTGTTACCTGAAGAGTGAAATACTTTAATGAAGCCACGAGTTCATTCTTTCTATTCTTCTCTGTTCTCTCTATCCGAGTAAATGTAGTTGTCTTAAGGTTGATTTGTTTGTACAACATGGGTACGGCCTAGGAAGTATACCTTGTTGTTTTGATTGGTGCGCTGCTTTGATATTGGACTAGTGCTAAAGGCCAGTGCCACCGTCGTCCGTGCTCAACGCCTCGATGGAGATCTAGATCATCGGCAACTAAAATGCCAAGCATCCAGACTTCATAATAAAGTGTAACTCATGGCATATTCGGAGATAATTGGCACTAGCTTCTAAGTGGAAGCAGTAGTCTACTATATCGTACTCCCTAGATCTTGCGTCGGAAGTAGTGGGGATTATCAACCTCTTCCATATTCAAGATTTGCACTATACAGATCGAAGGTCAAAATGGATACCGGGAACTTGGGAAACCTACAATACTAAGCGTTGGATGAACATATATATAGATAGTATCAACGTTGAATTTCATGGATCAGATTGTCCAATTAAGTTGTTAATAGTTGAGAGTCCTTCCCCGAAAGCAATGGATATACGCAAAATCATAAACGCCCTTCAACACCAACCTCGAAAAATCAAGAATTCCTCAAATTCGATGCCATGGTGACAGATCTATTCTTCTTCCGATCTTCTTTCGTCCGCAAGCCACGACTCAGCCCACCGCCGAGACCACGGGCCAGAGATGAAAACGGGGACGAATCCTGCCACACATCCAAATCGTGATCAAGTTGGCCACCGCCTTTGGGGCGCAGTTCCTCTTTTCGGATGGCAGGCAAGGCAACGGGCTCAGATTGTCGGCGATGAGATTGTTTCGCCTGTACAAGGCTGGGCGGAGTGATGGGTGTGTACTCTTTAGTACCAGGGGGTGCTGATTCCCACAAAGGCATGGGTACATCAACGGCAATGTGCTCGGAGCATTGGCAGCCGCATCCTGTTGGACAGGTTGGGAGGAACTTGTTTTGGTCTGAGTGGTCGAATGGGCTGTCGAATTTGTCGGCCGGTCGAAGAAACCAGCGCCGATGGCAGTCGAAACAGCTCACATGTCCGCAGCTCAGACAGGGGATCAGCATACCGTTCACCACCTCGCCGCAGATGACGCAAGGTAGTTTGGTTGGCAGTGGCTGTCGGGGCTTGCAGTTGGGGCATCGGCGGACTGATGGTTTGCGCTGGTGTCGTTTGGAGGGGGAATTCGGGCTTAGGAGTTCTTTATTAAAGATGGAGAGCTGCAACGCGTGGCCGCAGCTGGCGCAATGGCGCTGGAAGTCAAGAGCTTGGGAGCTTGGCTCCGGCTGTGGGTCTTTCAACGCGGTCTCTTCGGAGCCGGTGCTGTTCCAGTACTGGCTTGAGGTCAGGTCGTCCACTCGATCAGTCACAGCTCCAATCTTTATCACCTCGCTTTGTTGAACGGGTAGGTCCCAAATCGACAATAGATTGGCATAAGCAAGACGGTATGACCGATACAACAACTCCTCATCTCTGTCAGGAAAAGAGTCTTGCGCTGGTCCGTCGCTTTCAAATGCACTTTGATTCTTATATGTGACCTTAAATCGTGCGGGTGGTGGTGCAGACTCAGGTGCGTGATCGCTTTCAGTGTCGGATTGAGCTTGCGACTAGAGGGCAATCGGGGTCAGACAGATCAATCTTTGTAAGCATCTCAAACTAAGATTAAAACAACTTACCACTTGTCCGGTTGCCACACCTGGGCTGTTTTGAGGAGTCGGCTTTTTCTTGTCCATCCTACTTGTAGGTGGTGACGCAGATGACGGTCCGAATGTGAATGAACGAGATAAGGAGGACGCCAACACCGATCCAAACCCAGATCCGCTTCGTGCTTGGGATTGCTGATCAGGCGATGCAGCTATGGAGACATTGTGGCTCGGATTTTTTCGATCAGCAGCGATGCCTCGTGGACGGGACATGAATGGAGGCGTAGTGCCTGTGGAATATGGGGGAGTGGGATCGAGACGCCAGATCTCACTAGACGAGCGTGCTGAGGTCTGGGGCGCGGGCATAGCCTGGACGTCCTTGAGGCTAGACGAAGCTGGCGTTGCAACTGGTGGCTTGGTTGGAATCGGGACAGGGGAGAAATCCAATGAAAAATCCCGTTTCTCTGGTGTCTTTTTGGCTTGCTGATTCTCCAAGCATCCCTCTTGGTTGGCTTCCAGTAGTACACATGAGAGCATTGCCACCATTTGCACATCACCAATGCGCTCAAAGTGTTCGAAGAGAGCAGGGACAAGCCAATGACTACCAAGGGGATGGTCGCCCCAGCGAATAATACTGCCCGTCAAGTCTCTATACAGCCCATCTCTTCCCAGACCACCGATTCTGCCCCCTTTTTTGTGTGTACGCCTTTGCAACAACCCTGGCTCCGGCAAAGTGCCGGGGCTTTTTCGGACATGCAATACCAACTTAATCAGACCCCAGATTTGGGCCAATTCGTAGCAGCCAGCGTCAAGGGCAACAGCCGCGTTATGGGCGCATACATCTGTTCCTTTGCCACAGATGCGATATTGACTCGCCAACTCCCGCTTGACAGGTAACATATCACTCAGATTATGAATAGATACGATATTCTGGGGTGCCTCTGATTTGACTGTGGCTCCACCCCCCGTCGATCGCTGAGAATTATCTGTTGATCGCGGTCGGTGAATGCCATAACTGCCGGCACTGCGCCACGTTCGAGGTGCTGGGAAACGTGTTTGTAGCCCAGAAAGAACGTCAGAGGAGCCAGAAGAGCTCGATGAGTCTGAGTATGACTCGTCCGAATCATCCGAGGCGCCATCATCTGTGCTCGTTATCGTTCCCAGTCCGCGTGGGCCGGGTGAGTTGGTATGTAACCGGCCGAAGCCTTCAAAAACTTTATCGCCTCTGGACCAACGAGTCATCTCTTTGAAGCCCATGTTCTCGAACAACTCGGCTGATTTATCCTTCTTTGGTTTCGGCGGGAAGAAGCATATGAGACGGCCGTCATTTGCCCAAAGCGCCCCGCATGCTTTGGCCACAGGCACCATGACGTTGGCATTAACAGGGCGGAGTAGCTCAGAGCTCATCCCCAGCTCTTGGCTTTGGGTCATGCCGACTTCATCCTCGTCGCTGGATTCACCTTCCAGTTCACCATTGATAGGGGACTTGAGGGTATCGCCAGTTTCACCCAATATCCACGCGATGCTGTCCTCCAGGCTGCTTTCGCCTAAGAGATAACGCACAGCACCTTCCAGACACCCTCGATTTCGGGACATGTAGGTTTCAGCAATTGTGCGCAGTTCAGCCGTAGTCTTCGCAGCCCACTCATCGGTGACGGCTGCCGTCTTTTGGAATGCAAAGGTTGGGATAGCAGTCTTGGGGTAGCTCATCGGGAACTTGATATCAACTTTCAAGAATAAGGAGGCCCCGTCAGCACCCCAGGGTCCATTGAGAGAGATGGAAATCTTTCTTTGTCGAACATCAACTGAATCAAATGCCACCTTAGTGAACTTTTCACCGACCTGGCTGATTTCATCTCCTAATGTCTCAATGTCCCAGCCTGAGATTTTCACACCGCGCATCCAAGCAATTGGGTTTGTGTCGGCTCTTAAATTTGACCTCGGTTGCATGCCAACTCGATCAACATGGCCTCCCTTTATCCAACCCCGAGCGTGAGGAACAGTAATGGCGTTCATCCCAGCACCTGCCGCAGTATTCTGGTTCTGATGGCCAACAGAGGAAGCCACGTCAACGTCATCGAGATCCAAATCTGAATTTACATCGCGGAAACTCCGATATACGGCACCGAGCCGTGTGACAGTTCGTGTGGAAATAAAGGACTTGCCCTTTTCGTACCCGACGCGCGCCAGAATCTCAGGGTTAACTTTATGGAGACGGAGCTCCCTGTCTGTCCCCCACGTAACAAGTTGATATTCGCGATGGTCAATTCCATCCGCTACCCCTCCGCGTGGTCTCCACAGGAATTCTTTGACTTGTCCCTTGTGTCCGGGGAAACTATGTACCAAAGGCAAGTCATCCTCTGGATTTGAGCCCTCTGCAGCTCGCCGGCTGTAAAGGTGAAGATCATTGTTGCCTCTCTGTGGCATTGCAAGCATACCCCATCCAAACGGCGTATTGCGTGCCCGCCACACGGGGAATGGTGTGTGAATCTGCTTCTCTGGAACATCTGAATCGGTGGTGTAGTCCCAGAACTTGATAGTTCTATCTAAAGAACATGTAACTAGAGCGCCGCGTCGAACACGATTCCAGTCAACTCCGTAGATCTTGGTGTTATGTGCTTCAATCGACTTGATTGGGTATGCACCCATGCGATCATCCCAAATCCGAAGGAATCGGTCATGGGAGCTTGCAATGACATGAGGGTCTTGTCGATTCCATTTCACCTGGGTTGCACCAGTAAACCAATCCGAGAATGAGACCGCTGGCCGCGACGGAGCACGTAAATCCCAGCAGTGCACAAAGCTGTCCACGGAACAGGTCGCTAAAATATCTGGATGAAATGCTGAGAAATTGATATCGGTAATTGCTCGAGAATGGGCGTGAAGCACAATTTCAATAGAGTTCTGCCATGTCTTCATGGCCAAATTCCAGACCAACGCTTTCTGGTTGGATGTACTGACAACCCATTGATCGCGTGCAGCGAATGGCGACCACTGGACATCAGCTACCTCCCATGGTGTGTGGTGAGGGAGATACCGCGGTGGAGAATATGGCGAGTCTAGGTCGATGACATGTAGACCCTCCTTGGACGCTAGAACAACATCGCGTCCACAGGGGGATATTGACATAGAACCCACCGGTTGCTCGACATGAAAGGAGCTGTCCTCATCAAACGTCGGGCTCTCCATAGCCGACGTGAGAGGCCTCGGCTCCATCGAGCTAGACATGGTGACTGTGATTGCCGCTCTGTTTAATCTCCGGTGTTCGTCGGGCCGCGATCTTGCATGAACCGGGGAGTAAAAGGTCTATCCATGCATATAACGCAAGACCATATGTATTTGGAAGTGATGCACCTGTTCCCATTTTCCACAATGGCATCCGCTATCCTTGTTTCATGGTTAGAGATGACTTGTACCCTCGACTTGTCGCGAAGACTGCACATGTGGAGAGTTGGGTTGCGATAACGCGATAAGGACAATAGCGTGGCTGGTGCTGTGGCTGTGGGGCGGGATTATGACATCACATGATCTCGTATACGGGACGCGAAATAACCCCGCCATGCAGGAGCCCCTCGGCCGGATACGTCGAGATCAGGGATCTGTTTTTTGGTTGACTTGTACTTTACTTTTCTCTGTTGACTTTTCCGATTACATCTCGTGGTCGCACCAAACGTTGAAGTGTGCAAGTTCCTGGTCTCTTTTAGGAACAATCTCCTCGTCTGAAATTACTACACCAGGTCCACACGCGTCTCGATAAGCCGGTTCGCCATGGCTTTACCCAAGAGAATCATTAAGGAGACGGAACGTCTGATGGCAGAGCCGTAAGCAGCTTATCTCGCTCCAAGGGTCATTTGCATAGCAGCTAACATGTTGTGCTTGGGTTACAGTGTTCCAGGCATTAATGCTGTGCCCCATGACGATAACCTCCGCTATTTCGATGTCTCAATTCACGGACCTGCGCAATCTCCATACGAGGGTAGGCTCGCGGTAACCAGATCCTCGTATCAATTGAAGTACTAACATACTTTCTACAGGTGGTATCTTCCGACTTGAGCTCTTCCTGCCAGACGACTATCCTATGACCCCACCCAAAATCCGCTTCCTGACCAAGATCTACCACCCCAACATCGATCGTCTGGGTCGCATCTGTTTGGATGTCTTGAAGAGTAAGACAGAATACGATTTGTTCTCAAACTGCGATTATCTAACCATGTTTTTTCAGATAATTGGTCTCCAGCTCTCCAGATTCGTACAATTCTACTCTCAATTCAGGCACTGCTTGGAGCCCCGAATCCCGATGACCCGCTCGCCAACGACGTTGCTCAGAGATGGAAGGATGATGAGCCTGCTGCAATCCAAACGGCAAAAGAGTGGACTCGGACACATGCTATGACTTAAGCCCGTTGGTGTTATGTGACCATGAAGTGCAGGACAACCCTTTCTATTTGCGATAGCAGGCATTGAATTCCAAGCGTTTGTTATTGAGCAACCGTGTTGCTTTGAGTAGGATTACATTCTCTGCTCCTCCCATTACCCTTGTCTCAAGTTATTCTGGCTTTCTCTAGAAGGCGTTGCAGAGAGGCAACCTCGTCCGGCGTGTTTAACTTTCATCAGCCATTCTTAACAACACATCCGCTATCATACATCTAATGTAGTCCAGCCACTTACAGTTCCCGCAGTGTACTGAACGTTATATCGTTTGTTGCACAATTTTGATCCTCACTTTGAGAATTGTGTATATGTCAACTTTATCTATTCCTGATTTCCAACTCTGATAGAAAGAGCTATTGAAGAAGAGATGTACTCCAGCCGTGTAGGTGTAGACTGAGTACACATACTCGTATATGAGGATTGTACTTGAGCCGTTCTGCACCAAAAGCTTCCAGGTTCATCTATAGCCCAGATTCAAAGGAAATTTGACTTCTTTGAGGGCCCCCGAGTTGTTCGTCGGCGAAAATTCTATGTTCCTTGCGCTTTGTCGTGGGCTTGTCAGTAAAAGAAATGTGAATTTCAGGTCATTTCATATTTTTTTTCACTTGCACTCATAGCAACATATAACTCGAAGCAGAAACTAAGTAACAAAATTCAAGCTATGCAACTATCCTGATCAGAAATCATAAACAATCGAAGTATTGGAAGAGAGAGACATATCATGTGACCTTATCGATAAGTCAACCCGGAAAGGGCAGAGGTGGTCACGTGTCGCACTTTAGCGAGCGCCCGCACCACAATTGGGTCAGTAGCATCACCGCGATCCACGATTTACGACAACCACTCAACGCCAACCGACCCCCGTCAGCGCATCTCCATCCGTCAAGATGCGTACTTACGACGACGCCTTCAGCGGCCAGAAGATCTACCCTGGCAAGGTGCGTTTGCAATTCCCGTCGTCGCTTTTGGGAGGAATTTTTGTGCGAGGGAACAACGGCATCACGGATTCGACATTCAACTTCGATATTTCAATACCGTCACAATTGTCACTCTCCGTCTTAGCCGAACCGCCGCACATAAATTCCGCCGTCTTTTTATTGCTGCTAGAAGCTAATCTTTGATGTTCAATGTTTTAGGGCAAGCTGTTCGTCCGTGGCGACAGCAAGATCTTCCGTTTCCAGCGTGGAAAGTCCGAGTCCCTTTTCCTCCAGCGCAAGAACCCCCGCCGCATCGCATGGACTGTTCTCTTCCGTCGCCAGCACCGCAAGGGTATCTCTGAGGTCGGTCGCCCCTCCCCTTGGATTATCGTTAGATTGTGTGGAGGGACAAAAGGCCGAATCGAATGGTAACGCACAAACCATGAGACGGAGCAAGAGGAGGAATTACCACGTCACCACCATGATTCAAACCAAATGATGGAAAATGCGACTGCAGATTACTGACCGGGTTATCTTTTTGATATATAGGAGGTCGCCAAGAAGCGCACCCGCCGTGTTGTCAAGAACCAGCGTGGCATCGTTGGTGCTTCCCTCGACGTGATCAAGGAGCGCCGCTCCCAGCGCCCTGAGGCCCGTGAGGCTGCTCGCAAGCAGGCCATCAAGGACGCCAAGGAGAAGAAGGCTGCTTCCGCCAGCGCCAAGAAGGCTGAGAAGGCCAAGACCGCCGCCTCCAAGGGCGGTGCCCAGCGCATCCAGAGCAAGCAGGGTGCTAAGGGCTCTGCTCCCAAGGTCGCCGCCAAGTCCCGCTAAATTTCTTTTTGAAACAGTTGGGAATGGAGGTGTTCGGAAAGGAGCAGCGCTGTGACGGTTGCGATATGATGGAACTTACGGGCACCGGAGCTGGAGTACTGTCTGTGAGGACTGGCCTTGGGCCTTGACCTTGTTTCTGGAAATACTTTATGCAATACAATTTCATGCAGAAAAATGGGAACAAAGGAATCAAAAAATGAATCCCCATGCGAGTATTAAAACTATATCTTATCCAACCTCCAGCAATGGAACGTTTCTTGCTTTTCCCCCGAGATATCATGTCCACCAGGCCTACTCATGAGTGGTTGGATATGTATCTCTATCGGATATTGTCAACGAAGTAGTCCAGATTCGGCCTCCGATCTATAATTGAATTTCATTGATTTGTTCTAAGCCTTTGACCTTAAATATAAGAGAAAGGCATACATGGCCTCTTTCTGGCAGCATCTTCAGAGTGGCCGGATACAAAGCAAGAACGACATAACTCATTGAACCAACCTTTTCCCTTTCTGACCAGAGGATGATCTTCCAAGTTGAATAATAATGATATATAATTGTCATGTTTCATGCTCATCTATACTTAGACCATCTAGGTCTCCATCCCCGCAATGCATTGATTCCAAACTCTCGAGAAGGCAGAGATAATACAAACAACATCAGTAGTGTTACAAGCTAAGATGGGGATCGGCGCAATGACAGAAGCACCATCATCATGATCATGATTGGTAGATCAAGCACTTGCCTGCCCTAGAACTCTCACGGTGCGCAATCGAGTTGCCAATAGTGGGGAGTGGATGTAAAATCCCACAAATGCCAGTTGCTCCTTGCCATGTGCCGAGGGCCATGCTAATCACGATGGATTAGGGTCAGGTGCAGCTCCGTTCTCTCAAATGCAACAATCGCATGGTTTGCACAGGTTTCGTGTGGACAACAGCGCCTCCCCCCAAGCCTCGCCGGACTAACTGACCCAAATGACCCAAACGCTATATCAAACAACCGGCGTGAACCAGGAGGGGAAAAAAATCACGGATCAAGAAACGCTCAGTAATAATGCGCCATCTCGAGGCCAGCGCGCTTGAAGCCACATTTGACATAGAAACCTTCATTGACTTCGGAGCAGTCAAGAATGCTCTGTAAACGAGTCAGCAATGAACAGTGACACAACACTAGAATCATAGACATAAGAAATAAGAACACATACCTTGTAGCAGCCAACCTGGGCAGCAACAAAATCCAAAGCCTGGATAATTCTCAAGCCAAGCTTCTTGCCTTGCTGATTCTTCTCAACGGCAATGTCTTCAATGTGCCCGACCATACCGAGGGAATGAATGAACTTGCGCTCAACAATCAGACTGCCGGTTCCGACGACTCGGTCCGCACCATCACAGACCACGAGCATGTAGTACTCATCATTGCGCGAGGTGATCCAATCGTACCGCTGGTTCCACGCCTCCTCGGTGATATCACCAACAGTTGTCAGCACGCGCAACACGTCCAGGTAGCCGCGGTTGTAGTCTGAGCGGCGCATCGGCCGGATTGTGTAGTCTGTTGGCAGGAGGGAGATCACTTCGGGGGAGATGAGGGTGGAGGGGAAGAGGGGGCCGTCGGCGACGGTCTCGATTGCGGCGTCCACTGGGGTGGCGGTTGAGTTCATGATTGGCTTGACGGCTTCGGGGATTGTGGTGTTTGGCAGGGCGTGTGCGGTCATTTTTACGGTGAGAGTTGGAGAGTGGGAGGGTTGAAGAGATTGAGGGTTGAGGGTGGATTGTTTATCAGGGGTCGGGGGTCGCAAGGGAGATCGGCGGCCTTGGGGTTGAGTAGGTTAATTTTTTTGAGTGGAGTTTAATATATAATTGAGGAGCGATACAAGAGTTTCGATGTGGAAAAGAAAGAAGTTTTTAAGATGAGAAATAAGTACCTGTACTTGACTTTGAAGGGTTCAGGTACAGCCCTCCATGCAGGTGAGACACCGCCACTAAGGGGGCTTTTCTATTAATACTCTCCATACCAAGGGACGACCTAGTAGATTCTTTTTTTGTTTCTCTCGGTTTTTTTGTTTACTATGATCTGCTTATTTCTGCATTGAAAAATTCCAAGGTTATTGAAATGTACATATGTATCAAAAATATCTCGACAACTCCAATTTACCAGTGTTCTTGATCGTCTTTGCGATCGAAGATGCTATTTATAGGTTAGGATCTACACATACAAAACCTGTATAAAATCACAACACAAGGTAATTAAACATAATATTCTTTTCAGTATACACATCCTATCGGAAATGGTCTATAATATCACAGGACAGCATTGCTGTTCATCTATTTCAACTCCTTAGGAGCCAGCATCAGCTCGGGGCGAACATACTGGTCAAACTCCTCAGAGCTAAGAGCCTTGAGCTCCATAGCGCTCTCCTTCAGAGTAAGGTTCTTCTTGTGAGCGTTCTTGGCCACCTTGGAGGCCATGTCGTAACCAATGACAGGGTTCAGGCAAGTCACAAGCATCAGACTATCATACAGTTAGAATTTGCCACCAAAAGTAAGGGGGGGGGGGTTTAAGCGCATACCTCTCGTTGAGGAGGGAGTTAATCCGTCCCTCGTTAGCCTCAAGACCCTCTACCAGGTGGGAACGGAAGCTGTTCATTCCATCAGAGAGGATGCGCACGCTGTGGAGCAGGTTGGCAATCATCACGGGCTTGAAGACGTTAAGCTCGAACTGGCCGTTCATGCCACCGATAGTGGCAGCGACGTGGTTACCCATAACCTGAGCGCAGACCATGGTGAGTGACTCGCACTGGGTGGGGTTGACCTTTCCAGGCATGATAGAAGAGCCGGGCTCGTTCTCGGGCAGGCTCAGCTCGCCCAGGCCGCAGCGAGGGCCGGAGCCCAGGTAGCGCACATCCTGGGCGATCTTGAACAGGGAGGCGGCCAGAGTGTTCAGGGAGCCGGAGGCCTCGATGATGGAATCGTGGGCAGCCAGAACCTCGAACTTGTTTGGGGCGGTCTTGAACTCGGTGCCGGTCAGCTTGGTGATCTCGGCAGCGACGGCCTCGTCGAAGCCCTTGAAGGTGTTGAGACCAGTGCCGACAGCGGTACCACCCTGAGCCAAGAAGCGCAGGTGAGGGAGAGAAGCCTGGACACGCTCGATGTTACGGTCGAGCTGGGCGACGTAGCCAGAGAACTCCTGGCCAAGAGTAAGGGGAGTGGCGTCCTGCAAGTGGGTACGGCCAATCTTGATAATGTGCTCGAACTTGTCGACCTTCACCTGGAGGGCGTCGCGGAGGCCCTTGAGCGAAGGCAAAAGGGACTGCTCGAGCTCGACAACGGCAGCGATGTGCATAACGGTGGGGAAGGAGTCGTTAGAGGAGGCGGACATGTTAACGTGGTCGTTGGGGTGGACGGGCTTCTTGGAGCCCATGGTGCCACCGAGGATCTCAATAGCACGGTTGGAGATGACCTCGTTAGAGTTCATGTTGGACTGGGTGCCAGAACCAGTCTGCCAGACGACCAAAGGGAAGTGGTCCAGCAGCTTACCCTCGGCAACCTCAGCAGCGGCCTGCTTGATAGCCTCACCAATCTTGGGGTCTTGTGCAAGTTAATAACCTGACGATATCTACTTTCTGCAAGAGCTTCACATACCAAGGCCGTACTTCATGTTCACTTCAGCAGCAGCACCCTTCAGGATACCGAAAGCCTTGACCACCGGGGCAGGCATGCGGTCCTGGGGCTGGTTGATGTCGAAGTTGCCCAGGGAGCTGTATCCATCAGCGACCTTGTTCGTTTTTCGCATTGTAACATATCGATTTGATGGGTCGTCTTACCGCTGGGTCTGCGCACCCCAGTACTTGTCTCCGGGGACCTATTGAGAAAACCATTAGCTCTGTGTGGCACCATTTCTGTATCAAGATTCACTCACCTGGATTTCACCAAAGGCATCGCTCTCAGTACGAGCGTCAACAGACTAGATCACACACATCAGTTTGTCTGGATTTGTTTGTCCACCGCGCTCTCGAAACAGCATACCATTCTGACGGTAGTTCCAAAGGCTCGCTTGTTGGAAAAGGTGTTCAAAGATTGAAGGCGGGGAAATTGAGCGAATTGACGGGTATTAGAGCTCAGAGACCGGGTAGCAAAAGGCGACAACATGATGCGAGCTGCGGGGGTGGCTCTGGCCGCATTGGTCAGAGTGGCCATAGAGCGCACCGCGGCTCGGGAGGAAGTGGGATTCATTGTGTGACAATTGGGTTTGTAGCTGTACCAAAGAGGGTATACAAAGGTTCACACCAAGCTTCTGAAGCTTCTATGGGAAGTGAAATTGAGAATTGGTCTCCTTTAAAGGAAAGTGTCAAATTTGAGATCAGATCGACTCTCCGAGTCCACAGCCGAAATTTCCCGGTATCGGCAGGACCGAAGGGAACGGGTTGTTCGGCAGTGAGGCACGTAATATTCGGTAATATTTAGTAATATCTGGTTTGGTACTGTGGTATTTATTTGTTTACGGGTTGAACTCTCATCCCTTGAAGCCCTTGAAGCTGCCGCTTCATTGTCGCAATCACCTTCTCGTTATATCGCTGACCTCCCTCCAGAATTCCATCGAGTCCAGCGACCAAATGCGGAGCTCCTGCAATTCGATCTACCTCTACAGATACCCCAGCAGCTTGAAGCTTAGCTGCATACGCCTCTCCTTCATCGCGCAGCGGATCCAATTCCGCCGTAGACACCAACGCAGGGGCCAAGTTCTGGAAGTTTGGTGCGAGAATGGGCGATATCTTCCAATCCTAGACAAATGAGCATTATATTTGCAATTACTTCATGTCCGAACTTACCTCGTCACACTCCGCCGGTCGAGGAACTCCTAGAAATTGTCGGTGGAAATATGCCATGCGCGCTGCTGGTAGCGCTGGCGCAAACTCCATCTCCCGGTATGATTCGTAGGGACAACCTTCGCGGTCAAACTCGCCCTCAGGAGTGAAGACACGGTGCAAGTCTGTCACCGGCACGGTTAAGACTTGCAAGCGCAGAGGAATGTTTGCATCGCGGCAGAGATGGCTGATGACGGCCGAAAGCTGGCCTCCAGCTGACGCACCTCCCACTGCGAACCTATCCGGGTCTAGATTGAACTCAGTCGCTTTGTGGGAGCGAATCTAGACGTTGCCTCGTCAGCACTTGGTTCTCCAATATCTTGGCCTGGGAGATTCCTACCCAATTGAAAGCAGTCCAACAATCGTTCACGGGAATAGGATACTTGTGCTCGGGGGCCAGTCGGTAATCCACGTCAAATGCGACAAGGTCCCCGTCAAGACCATGGACAACTCGCTTGCAGAAATCGTGATCGTAGGCTAGTCCACCAAACACCCACCCACCACCATGGAAGTTGACATAGGCTGCTCTCTTCTTCGGCTGACCCTGGTCGTCAAGCCGGGGTACTGGCTCGAATATTCGTATAGTGATTTCACCGCCATCCACAGGACATTTCTGTTCTGTGATGCGGAAAATATCAGGGCCGGGAGCTCGGCCATAGGAAATGGTATAACGGGCAGGGTTCTTGCGGAACTCTTCGATCGGGATCTCGTGTGTATGCAGTCGCCCGGCATTAAATGCATTGTAGTATGCGACGTAGATTGGGTCATACCGAGGGAGCAGCTCCGAGGGGATGCTATTGTGAAGTGGCCGGACGATGGTTGGAACCCGAAAGTTATGCAAATCAGAATTACCAGCTGCTACGGTTTGAGAGGCCATATGGGTAACAAAAAAAATGCACACTGCCTGGTTTACCTGATGGATTGTTTAAAGAATGGGGTATTGAAGAGGATGTGGTTTGGAGCAGGCTATCGAAGTCCACGTAGTACAGATCGCGGGGTATCATCTGGATACATATGTACCAACTTCAGTCTATATCCCCTAGATAGATATGTACATAATGTCCGTGTCAGAATATTAATTGTCACGGTACAAGTTGAGTGCATAGGTTGTGTAGCAGAATCCCGAGTTCAAGCGTCTTTGTCCTCATCGGCTGCAATTCAATATATGTCAAAGGATGGATTGAAATAATAGCTTGAAGTAAATCTGACAAGTTATGGCAAGCTCAACAGGCTTCTCTTTTTACCGTTTTAGGTTTGTCCTGTTCAAGTATTACCTAGGTGTTCATCTTGATATAACCGGAGACAGATGAAGCACACCATACAATAGATGATTTAACCGTGTCTAAACTTTTCCACATTGGAACCTTAATATAAACATTGAAAGTATGTATCTAAAAAGCAAAACAAGAAAATAGGAGCCAAACAAAAAGATTCGTAAATGTTGTAGAAGAAGTAAATAAGGAGAGAAGGTAGATGTCAGCTTACCTTGATGTATATCTCCGCCCACTATATATCGCTACACAGCCGCCTCGTCTAAATATTCCCACAACACACCACGAGTTATCTATCAACCCCCCTTGAATAGAGTGTTACACAAGAAAAACTCATATATATCCTCCTAAGAATACAGTTCGTTTATAATGCGCGTCAGCAGACCTCCGATTACGTTTCATGCTGATGTTTAGAGTTCAGTCCTCCAAGATGAGGTCAATAACGTATCTCAAAGGCTGTCTATCAACCAGCACATGGCCAAAACCAGAAGGCTATTGACGGCTATCTCTTTCTTTGAATCAAACGAAGATGAAGGCATTGCAAGTTGTGTTCCTTCCAAGCAGACCCCGGAATCCGCTACTAAGCGGGACTTCCCGCGGGGCAAAAAAACAGACGGCGATATCGGGTTGACTCAGCGGGCGATTCCAAAGTTTTGATCTTTACTTACTTATACTCGCCGCGGCCTCGCAACATCTTGCCTAAAAGTGATACCAGGAATCCCAATTGCAGCGTGTATACATCACAATGAGCAAAATCGACACCCGTCTTAACGTCTCCCCGGTTCCTCCGGACGAGATCTTCGCCCTGAACGGGGCCTACGCAGTCGATCCCCACCCGCAGAAGGTTAGCTTGGGCGTGGGTGTCTACCGGACAGACGATGGAAAGCCATGGCCCCTTCCCGTCGTGCAAAAGGCCGAGAAGGAGCTGGTGGTAGATGATGACCTCTTCCGCCACGAATACACTGCGATCGAAGGCGATGTGCCTTTCCTAGGAATTGCGCGGGATCTGATGTTCGGATTCGAGGGCAAGCAGGGCGAAGAAGGGGCTAAGGCGCGCATTGGCTCAGTGCAGACCGTCGCCGGCACCGGTGCCAACCATCTCGGCGCTCTGTTCCTTGCCCACCACATGAAGCCCGCCACCGTCTGGCTGTCCAACCCATCCTGGGCCAACCACCAGACCATCTGGGAGCTGGCCGGTGTGCCCCGCAAGACATACCCGTACTACCATGCCGCAACCAGGTCCTTCGACTTCGAGGGCATGATGTCCTCCCTTGAGTCCGAGGCACAGGAGGGCGATGTTGTGCTGCTGCACGCTTGCGCGCACAACCCCACCGGCCTGGATCCCAACAAGGAGCAGTGGGTTGCCATCGCTGACCTCTGCGAGCGCAAGAAGCTCTTCCCCTTCTTCGACTCGGCCTACCAGGGCTTTGCCTCGGGCTCCGTTGAGGAGGACGCTTGGGCCGTCCGCTACTTCTTCAACAACAAGCCGGACATGGAGATGTGTGTGGCACAGAGCTTCTCCAAGAACTTCGGCCTGTACGGCCAGCGCGTTGGTGCGTTCCACTACTGTACCAACCGCGCCTCCACCACCATACGCGACATCGTTGTGAACAACCTATGCCACCTGATCCGCGGCGAGTTCTCCATGGGCCCGCGTGTTGGCTGCAGCATTGTCAAGAAGGTTCTTACTAGCGACGAGCTTACTGCCGACTGGCACCAGGACTTGCAGGTCATGAGCTCTCGCATCAAGACCATGCGTAAGGCTCTGTACAGTGAGCTGGTCCGTCTGCGGACCCCCGGCACTTGGGAGCACATCATCCAGCAGGTAAGCTATCTTCTACTATACGTGTAACATACCTTGTACTGATTCTTTTCTTAGAACGGCATGTTCTCCTACACCGGTCTTTCCCCCAAGCAAGTCTACGCCTTGAAGGACAAATACCACATTTACCTGCTTAAGTCAGGCCGAGCATCTATCAGCGGCTGTAAGGACCCCCAATCCCGGATACTCATAAACACGAGCTGACATTGTGCACAGTGAGCCAGAAGAACGTCGCCTACGTCGCACAGGCGATTGACGATGTTATTCGCAACGAGAACTGAATTAGAAACGAGTCCGAACTGGATTTGTTTTGAATTTTCATTTTGTTTAGGCAGCCTCGATATGCATTTTAGTCGCTCAAAAGGGGCTGGGGTTTTTTTTTGGTAGACTACTGACTTTGCATCTGGCGGGCCCATCTGATTTACGACGTTTCATGATAGAATTCCAATTTACAGAACCATAGCCACACGTGCAGTTTTGGTGTTCTTACCTACAATATAATCATTTGCTCTCCAATCTTCTATACAGGTAAACCGGATCATTCAAGTCAATGAGCAAGGCTGCATTAGAAAAATTGCGTACTGTACATATAACAGCAAAAAAACGGAACATGAGAAAGAAAAATGAGGAATCACAGTCGGAGCACGTTCGTAAGAATCCTATGGTTTGTCCGCTTAAGTGAAGAAACACGCCACTAACCACAACAAGGTAAAACTGTACTGGATAAAGTCGTAGACGCTGGTCGACAAGGGGGACAGAAACAGGGTAGGGAGGTCAAGAGATTGACCGCGAAGCAAGGATAGAGCAGAATAGATGATCAGAGGGCCATTCAGAGAGGCACTTCGTTGAAGTCGCCCTCACCCTCTTTGCCTTTGCCCTTTGCGCCTCCGAGATTTGTTGACTCAGACTCATCATCGGGCCTGTTCTGTGGAAGGGTTTGCTCTTTCTCCGTCTCTTCATTGTTCTCCTCTGCAGCTTCGGCTTCAGGGTCCTCGTTTTCGGCCTCTGGAGCAGGTGCCGCTTCTGCCTCACCATTCTGAACAGGCTCATTTGTATCTTCGGCTTCATCTTTGGGTGGGGGCGGAGGAGGCGGGAGGTCGTCTTCCCCATCTTGTGATTCAACCTCTTGTGTCTGCGACTGCGCCTGGGGTTGGCCACTCATCTCACCCCCAGGGAATGGAGTCAGAGGAGGCTCCTCGGGCACCTGCTCTGGCGCAGGGCTTCGTTGGGGCTGAGTGCTGAGTCTTCCCTGGTTGGCACTTGTGGCAGTCGAAAGAGTAGAAGTAGTACGCTGGTGGGACGAGCCGTGGATGACGCCGAGTTGACGGGCCTTGGGGTCTGCGTTGAGATAGTAGCCACGCACACCGGCAATGGTCCCCTCTGTCTCGCAAGCATCCACCCACTCCGGCACCACGACAGGAATGTTCATCTCCACAGCCTTCTCCCACTGCGCGCCCCGTCCTTCCGTGCAGACGAAGTGAGTGGTGTCGATACGGACCGAGTCGATCATCTTGCCTCCAATGCGGTCCAATGCAGCACCGAGAGCCTCCTTCTGCTGCGGATCGAGGACGCCCGTTGTGACAGTGATACCGGACAGGTCGGTCATCTTGTGTGTGCGACACGTCAGCTTCTCCGACTGGTAGGTGCCAGCGGTGGTCCGCAGGACCAGATGGAAGGAGTATTCGGAGTGAATGGCCAGACCGCTGATTTTTGTGCTGCGTGTCTCGAGCGGGCGGGGTATGGAGCCGGCCTTGGAGCCATTGCGGTAGAGGGAGAGCGATTTCAGGGATGCAGTGGCTAGGTCGATTGGGTCCCACTCGAGAACGAGCGAGGTCTGGGTTGCATTTCGCAGGCGCAGAATCGGTGGCGACGGGGCCTTGACACCGTAGGTATTTAGAATTCGCTTCTGGAGGGATTGGAAGGCAGATGCGCTCGCTGCTTCCGCGGCATGATTGCGCGAAACGGTGATATCAACAATGCTGCCTGAGCTAATGTTGTTCGGAAGGAGGACTGAGGGGAATTCAATCTGCGCGGAAATTTGTCAGTAAGGTGTGTTTGTTTGCTATTGATGTTTCGCATAATTGCAAGTCGTTGATGCCTTGGGAGTAGGGAGTAGGCCACCAGGGGTTTGAGCTTACGAGTCGATTGTCTTGGGTGAGGAGCACCGCGACACCCGCGTCTACCTTGCCAACTGTCAAGGAAACCAACATGGCGAGATTGGAAGAGGAAGTTTAAGATAAGTGGTGGTGGTTGTCAAGTGAGTCTTTAGCCTAGACCCTCGGGTCGTTGATTCCGCCAGATCGGCATTTAGCGAGATACGGGAAGCTAAGATACTCGCGCTTCTATATTTACTTCTGTACCTCCGAGCCAACAATGAAGAATTATTCAAATTAGAGGGTATAATGAATGTAATGAAGTAATGAACACGAGTTGAGATTATTTGAATCTCAGATGCAAACTAATTTCCCCAAACGCCAAAAAAATCGCAATATCGCCCAGATGATGTACAGCAACAGTCCAACAGTCGACTGCTAGTATGATACAAGAAGTTATGGTAATATACATTGAATCCCATGGGTTCGCACGATGTCCCCAACTTGCCTGGGCTTCACAGTTTGAGTGGCCCATCGACAATAGGTCATTTCCGTGGTGATTCATGATCCAGAAGCAAGGATATTAAATGATGTGCATCCTTCTGGACCCCGTCGAAGTCCTGTGCCACACACGTCGGCTTAATATAAATGTCCATGGTTCCTGACAATTTTTTCTTCCGCAAAGGAGACTCGGAAACGAGCGGTTTCCCCAGCTTATCCAATCCTTGCTGCCTCAAAGCCTGCTCGACAGCCATTCGCACTCTGCGCGCGCACCAGGAGCGAACCACCCGCTTGCTTTGCTGGAGTTGTGACACCGAAACCCGCCACCATAATGTGTTTCTTTCACGATGCCCGCAGAGATCAACAATTTTGGGCCGGATCGGATGGGTAGGGGAATTCAGGTAGCGTGCGGCAACAGGAGGGGTGTTGCATTTGGGCCAATACCGAAGCACCAAGCTATTCGTAGATGTGACAAATTTCGTCGCCATGATAAAAGAGGTCTATCAGTGGCCGTAGGGGTATGCTGGTTTGGACTGTGAAATATAAGGAGAGTCGTAGCACATTGATATCATGTCGGATTGAACACCACAACGTTCATTAAACAGAGCCAGCGAGGGCTTATGGACACTTCGGAGGGACAATTGGAGGTTCAGAATACAGGTTCAGAGAGATATCATCGAGTCGCCAAGAAAAGTATCACAAATGTATTGTGAATGTACTCGGGAGGCGCCGAATCTTCGGAGATTGCGTGGATAAAGCAGTCTTGGGCTTGTTTGTCAGGATGGCCGGACGGAGGGCAAAACAGCTGTAATTTAAATGAATACTCAGACTCTTAGCAGATCTGACAGCACATGTAGCAAGAACTCAGAGAATTCCTCAGAAATGCCCTTGCAGACTTCCACGCTTGACATTGTTTCTCGCCTCATCTTTTTCTGCCAATCAAAACCAGGCGGTCAAATTTACCCCGAAACCAGGCATCAAGGCAAAAACTCTGCTGTAAGCGGGGGCGAAATCGCTGTGACGCCACTGGGCAGCCAGTGCCTGATTACATAATAAAAAAGATTTGAATACAAGTGCGCAGACCCCCCACCTCCTTCTTTCTTCAACTCTCACTTCCCTAATCAACTTCGATTAGGCCTCTTCAGATCTTCGTTGATCTAAGGAAAAAATCTACCCCAGAGAGACTTGACCCAGGTGAAGGTCACACAAAACCGCTATGCCCAAGAATAAGGGAAAGGTAAGCGCGCATAATATCCAGCCCCTCCTGTTGATAATTTCCTCGCCACATCCACCGTCTCCCACTTCAGGGTAGCCACCTACCCTCGATTTGGTGACTTTTTGGACTCGTGGAAGCCTTTTTTTCTTTGAAAACACCGATATAACTTGATGTGACACATTCTGACAATCAAATATAGGGCGGTAAGAACCGTCGTCGCGGCAAGAACGAGAACGACAACGAGAAGCGTGAACTCGTCTTCAAGGAGGAGGGCCAGGAGTACGCTCAGGTCGTGAAGATGCTGGGCAACGGTCGTCTAGAGGCACTCTGCTTCGACGGCGAGAAGCGTCTCGCCCACATTCGTGGCAAGCTCCGCAAGAAGGTCTGGATCAACCAGGGTGATATCATTCTCCTCTCGCTCCGTGACTACCAGGACGAGAAAGGTGATGTTATCATGAAGTACACCGCCGACGAGGCCCGTTCTCTGAAGGCCTACGGCGAGCTGCCCGAGCACGCCAAGATCAACGAGACCGATACCTACGGTGGTGAAGGCTTGGACGACAACGTCGAGTTCGACGAGGACCGCGAAAGCGAGGACGAGAAGGAGATCGATGTCGACGAGCTCTAAGCTCATCCCCCTGCTACCCCCAGAGTTCGATGCTCTGCCCTGCAAGAATACCCCGGATACATCCCCCCTCGGTATTCTCCATGTTCGCCAAATCCTTCTCCTTTTACTCGCCACCGTTGGCACAGTGCCGTCGCTCATCTGCTCCGAAACTGCCTTTGACTTTTTGCCACGCGAGGCACTTTCGACATCCGATTCCCTCTGTACATTCGTTCGAACGGACCAAGAGCATCAATCACCTCAACAGCCTACGACGCTGCTCCTCACCTCGGCTTGCATGAGGATAGGGACATCCCTCCACCCTGGCGCTACTGCGACAACTTTTCCGGGCTTGAAGCCATCGAACAGAGGACCCTCGGTGTTTGTCCATTGGCGATTTTGGATTTTCCAAGGTGGATCGATCCTCGATACCATTTTCGTCCTTTTTGCAAATATCTTGGGATCATGACAGAGACTAAAATGATTACTACGCACACATCATGAATCTGTGTGCTTGTTTTCCTGCATTGCGTTGCATGCGGTGTGTTCACTCTGCTCAGCCTCAAATTGCTTTTCTTTCTGTTCTTTTATGATAGAGTCATGAAATGGGCCACGAGAATTGAAAATATTATTTTTAGAACAGATACTTTCTTTTGTAGACCAATTCAAAGAAGTAACCAGACAGATCAAATGAATTATCATAACTAAACTCCAGCCACCTGGGCAATTCCAGCCCATGTTATGTACAGGTCAGGTATATCTTAGATGTTGTTTGGTACAATTTCTATGTATTCTATGTATGTCTTTCTGCTGGAATGTCATCAGATCAAGAATTCAAACTACCCTTCCCCTTCGTCGACCCCTCTACACACTGCCCACTCCCAAACATAGCCTTCGCCGCAGCCTGCCAAACGGTCTCCCGCTCCACATAGTTATCCAGCGTATAGAACAGCCGACATTCAGCAGCCTCATAAACAAACTGCAGCGGTGTCTGACCATCCTCTGGGTCATACTCATTTCGCAGATTCAGGTTGCCACTCCACTGGAGCGACGCCGTCGTGCTCGGGCTGGACTCATTGAATGCCTTCCACTCGGCAGATGTCAGCAGTGGCGATCCACTGTTGGCCGAGTCTCTAATCAGCCCATTCGCTTGCTCGATGTATCCGTTGATATAGTTGACTCCGAGTGACTGGCCGCCCTTGACGCCGCCGACGCCCTGCATGGGTGCCTTTTGTGGACGGCCGCCGAACGTGATTGTGCGGACGCCTTGGCGTTTCATCAGCTTGACGAAGAACGCGCAAGTTGAGACACAGTCGCCGTCTGTGATCTGTCATTGGAGTTTGAGTTAGTTTGTTTTCTCTTTTTTTTGCATTCTTGTGTGGCAAACGATCACTTACAATAGCGATGTTATCCGCCGAGAAGGGTGCTTTGCTTGGGTTCAACGGAACTGGCCCGTAACCGTTGATGGGGAAGCTTTTTGAAGAGGTGGAGGTGTAGTTGAAGTTGGCTAGTAAGCTAGAAGCAGAGCTCCCCAGAATTTCGTGCGGCCCATAGAGGTCTTCCCACGAGCTGAAGTCGGTTCTCTGGTCAGGCCGAACCATCTGCCGATACGCGAAGACATTGCTCGTGTCCGTGCTGTTGTCGCGCGAGTAAGCTTTTGTGAGATACTTGGCTGCATCGTGTGCTCGGAACCGCGTCGCTGTGTATGGGGCAGCATTAGGGAAGAAGATACGGGACAGGTCGATGCCAATAGACATGTATCCACCGGGGTTGGATGAGAGGTCAATCAAGACGTTCTTCTTTCCAGATTCGGTGCTGTTTTGCAAGAAGTCAACCGCAATCTTGGCGACCTCTGATGCGCTGGATGAGAACGTGGGCAGAAATATGATTGCTGTGTCCTTCAGCTCTGACAATTTAGAGTAATATCCAGCAATCGAATTAGCTGAGTTGCGCCACGTAGTGCTGGGAAATCCCGCTATCTCGGAGGAGGCTGTCTCGGCGCCAGATGGGCTGCTCGAAGCTGTAGACAAGTCTCGAGGAAGACACTCTATGTCGTAGAGGTGCGTGCCGTTCTTATAAGAAAAGAACTTTTCGCTCGGTGTGGCTGTTTTCTGAATAGTCTTTTCAGTGCCATTGCCAAACTTGAGGGACAGCTGAGCGCCATCAGTCCAGTCTCCAATGGAAGCCCAGATTCCATCCACACTAGTAGGAGTGTTTGTGACACTGCGGGCTGGTGCGGGGAATACTCGATTGTACCTGCGACAGTTAGTGTAGTCCAATACTGTAGCTGCAGAAGGGCACCTACTGTGCATCGCGATCCTGGAGGTTCTGATTACTGGCATATGATTCAAGGTACGTAGCCACGTCAGTGCCGTTGATAGACACCAGAGGCGAGACGGCTTCTGGGTCGACCTTGTGCAGTTTTGCATCACCTGGCATGTTAGTTCGAAGTTTTGATACAGATATCGAGCCGAACATACCTAAAGCGTACACTTGGGGAAGTGCGAGCCCATCTGTTGAGATTGACACTAGAGGCATATCGATTTGATACGTGAAGATCGACTGCGAGCATAGCTGGAAGGCTAAGTGACCATCATGGGCCGTTTTGATAAGGTGGTTAATTTCTAAGTCCATCTCAAATTGGCTGGTATAGCTGTTGTTCTTGGCCTTGCTCATGATTGTATCGATTTTCCCCATGATATCCGTGGAGGGCATGGTATATCCCGATGGGGGATCTAGCGATGTAAGTTAGCCGGGTTAAAGGGTTCTCCTTCGAATTGATATCACTCACCCTTTAAAATATCGATAGTCGACTGGAACTCGAGGATCTTGCGAACTTGAATCAGGAAATCAACGGCGCGGTCCGAGTCAAAGGGCATAGATAGCAGACATTGATGTGCTAGATCATGAGGCACAATGGCGTTTGCTGCGACCGTTAGTTATCAACTAAGTGATGATTTTGATGATTTCGAGCCCATGACGTACTCTGGTCTTGATTGGCGTCTTCCACCAACTTGCTCACCTGAGCACACGGCTCGACATCACGTATACTCCTGGTAGCACCGACAACAGCCGCCAAAGCGACCGGAGTCAACACAGTCTTGAGATGCATGGTGATAGGTTGAAGACGTCAGGAGTCTTCCATAATATTTCTGACCTCAAAGGGACCCATTGACATCTCCACTCTTTCTCAGGGGTCCTTGCTTCGGCTGTTGGCTGGGGGCTGTTCTGTTTTTAGCGGATCTGCACGATCGTCGCCAAGACGGAAAGATGTCTTATGGGGTACGGAGTAGACCAGGTTAAAATTGTTCATTCAGAGTCCAGTACTCGGATGTCTCAGTTGTTTTTTCTGCTTTTACTTGTTTTTTTCTGGCTGATTTGGGCAAAATATGAAGATGTGATGGGATGATGTAGTTGTATTTGTGACACATTACTGCATTTGTTGACGTACATACACACACATGTGCAGCTTTTTTGTGAACTTATTTAATTTGCATCGAAGTCATGGTTTGATTAAGAATACACAGGGGACTTCGGGCCAAATCCTCCATTAATCGAATACGCTTTTCTGGAAGAAAGCAACGATCTTACGTGCAGCTTCTTTGCCAACCAGTGGATCCAGCTGCTCGACATCCATGTTGGCGATATCACTAATATTGTCCGTTTCGATGATCAGCCGCTCAAGAGCTTGGGGTGTAACACCCGGAACAGCTCGCAGCATGTCTTGTGGAAGAAGATTGAAGGTACGGTGCTCAATCCCAGCGGCAGCCATGAGGTCGGCAGAGCCAGACGAATTAGATATATCAATATCAAGGCCGAGCTGAACCGCGCGAAGTGGATCTGGCTCCTGGGCGTTCTTTTTGAGCTCTGCAAAAATCTCAGCTGTCTGGTAAGGGGATGAAGACCAGACGATCTTTAGGCGTGGAAAGGCGAGAGTGAGGAGCACAACTAGATGCTGAGCGGACTTTGGATTAGACGGATTGGCAAGCGAGCTGCTGCTAGTGCTGGTTGCAGTGCCGGAAGATGAGAAACCGTAGTCTGTCATAAACGTGGGCCCTGTTGGAACGGAGGCGAATGCATCAAAAGTGAAAGATTTGTTTTGATCAAACTCGATCAATAGTAACGGGCTCTTGTAATACTGGAGCATCGTCTCGGCCTGGTTGTAGAGGCGACCGTTCTTGAGAGAGCTTATGAGATCACGGATCGATTTCCTTTCGACACAAATGTCTGGAGTGAGAATGTAGTCACCCACGGTGAGCTGGCAGGGAATCACGATCATGTTGTTTCCATGTAACAGCGATGGTAGCGCACTTCGGAATTCCCGCACATCAACTACAACCCGAGGAGGGGATGCTGTAGCGGCCAATCGTCCTCCTCCAGCAATACGAGTGTTGACTGTCCGGAGGAATTGCTCCTGGGGGTCTTCAGCCTTTTTGTCATGCGTCAAGGTGACTGCCATGTTCTGAAAATCACGTTAGCTAGTAATTCGAAGTGTGTAGCTGCATAGCTTACCCCTTTCTCTTTGATTAGCTTTGTGAACGAGTCTTTCTCTCGTCGGACAGCACTCAGATACCGCTGTTCCTCGACAGAGCCACCATAATACATGAAGTAGACCTTCACGCTTCGCCCTGAATGGGAACTGCGATATACCTCAACCCTTCGAATGAATGCGGGATCAGGTTCGTACATGATAATGTATCGCGGACGCACTTCCTCGAGTATATGCTCATCCATGTCACCATCGTAAGGGTGTATCATGACTAGATCGTTCATATCATACAGTTCGTAGAAATCTTCCATATCCTCAAGTTCATCGACAATAACCTCCTCTTTCTGCGTTTCTTCCACCTCAGTGGGCTCAATCTCACTTAGCAAGCTGACGACCTGACCGGGTAATTCGACTTCGGTTTGGACACTGCTATTTGGCACACGACCTGCAGCCGAGGTGACTGCACCGCCGCCGCGTACTCGACGACGTTTGTTTGGGGGAGGCCGTCCTTGATGCGCACTCTGGGCCGCTGGTGATTCAGAAGGTTTCCCAGACCTGTCGTCCTCTCCTGACTGGGACAAATTTTTGTTGACATTTGAGAGAGACCTCTTCCAATTGAGGTAGTCTCGCAGCCGACGCCGCATCATAAGCTCCGCAGAAGGCTTGTCCTCGCTCGTATCATCATCTTCTTTGGATTCGGACCCTTGAGCAATTTTGGCATGCATAGTGCTAATGTACTCGCGAAGCTGGCGGCATACACGTTGATCACTACACATAATCAATATGGTGCTGTTTGATTGATCCATTCTCGCAGGATGGAGGTAAGCATCGTGTTCGATTTCTGCAAGGATCTCTGATAGGACACTCCACTTTGGGAGTTCTTCTAGAGCTGGGTTCAACTCAGAAGAAAATGTAGTCGAAGATGAAAGGCGGGTCAGTTCGTTGTTCAATTTGCCTTCGTAGACTCGTGATTTGGCTGTTTGGAAAAGAACATGGGCAGCATCGAGGAAAAGCCACGGAGAGTAATTATGTCTGTTGGAGCCGGGAGGCGGAGCATGCGCAGACACGATAGTATCGAGGTACTTGACAAAAGATACCGCATCGTAGCTGAGTAAAGCACTACAGAGCTGTTAGTATAGAGAAATTGAAAGACACGTGAAAGACACACTGAAGGACTGCTCGTAGGTTTGTCAGGTCGGCGACGATCTGTCTTGTCCTGAAGCTCACACGATGCCAGATTGGGTCTAGTTGACGTCTGATAATCATATCAAAATTCCTGTGCAAAGCACTGTCTAGCGTCCACTCTTCCATATCCAGCCCGGTATTACTTTTCCTGAGCTCAGTGATACTGATCTCTACACATTCCAGAACAGCGTTCTGAATTTCCCTCATTTTGTCGCTCATGGGAACTTCCAACTCGATCACTTCTGCCTTGCGATTTCCTTCTAGGGACTCAGCAACCGAAACATGGAATCTAGGCCACAGTGATGCCTTGCGTAGGAAAAGGTTCCGCAGCATATTAGCCAACGGGGCAAACCCCGTAGTAAATGGCTCCGGAGAGTCTGAGAATGCTTTCAAGAAGCCACGCTTGTTCGATTGCCGGTAGACCCGGACAATAAATGCTTCGAGGGACGTCGCCAAAACCTTATCAGCATGCAAAATGACCATCCCAGTGACTTTCTCGGGATCAAGAAGTTCTAGAAAGATCAGCGAGTGTCTTGAGCCATTATACTAGATATACATACTCGATAATAAGTCCACAACCAATATTCTGGATGTCACACTCAGAATACCCCCTTCGCCATATATTCTCTCTCTGGAAATTTGTCAATACACCGCACCGCAATCGACATGGCAGAACCGAGAAACCCACCGCATCGGCACCGTAGCTTTCTCGGTATTGATCACTTTTAACCCCCTAGCAAGAGGGGACTTGCTGGTAGCGTAATGCTCCGCCAATGCTGGTTTCAGGGTCCATCAGCTTCCAACACCAGCGTTCGACCTGGGATGTAAACCAATCGACATACCCTCTCCGATCCATTCATTCTCGCGTTCATCTGCACCCACCACCAGGACCAGATTGTTTCCCGCTGCATCATAAAAATGGAGGAGATTTGATATTAGGTGTAGAAGCCCCAGGCCTCGTGCAAGGATGACTAGCTCATCTTCGGCGCGTAGTTCGGTGAAGAGCTCCTGCTGGTATTGCTTAATGGAGGTTAGCGGTAAGCCTGCGCCGGGTTGGTAGGGTACTTACCAGTGGCAGAGACAGCTTCACCGGCACATTTGACCGTTCTGGAGGCATTGGGAGCACTTCCTAACCCGTTGAGGAGTGAGGGGTCCGGTCAACGTGATATCGCGCGATCACGTGTGTGATGATGTATGACGTAATGAATTGATGAACCTTCCAAGGTTGGCGAGGTCCTTGGGGTGGAAGTATACGCAGCCTTCGAAGAAAAGGAGCTGGATTTCAAAAGGTATACTTGTTCTAGTTTTTTTGTCTAATTTGTTTTATAATTCTCAAGCAGATACTCTCTGTATGTTGATGCTGGACCTAGTTTGGGTCATAACCCGCTATAGATACACTCGACAAGGCAAGTTGCCTCGAATGGCAGAAACTGGTATTGAATTATGTACAGATAAATGAAGATTGTTGATCAATGGTCTCTCAGTTGGATGACTTGTTCAGTTCCTTCGCGCGTGCCTCCAGCTCCTCTTTCGAAGCCTTGGGAGGCATATCTACAAAGTGTCAGTCGCGGGCCTGTATAGATCCTCCAGTCAACTTACTGTCTGGAATCTGAGGTCCCTTCGACAAGAAGTCCGCTGCAGTCGCTTTCTGGGGTTGTTGCCCTGGTTTCTTCTCGGCCTCATTGCCTCCCTTTTGGGGCGCAGATGGGAAGTCCGACGACTCTGGGATGACCGGCATATTGTAGATATAGAAGAGTTTCTTGTTGAGTTGTCACTAGCTAGTACTAGCTCTTGTCCACTGGTGGGTAGGTCAAATATATCTGATAATTTGTTGATGGTGAGTTGAAGAAACAGGCGTTGAAGGCTGGTTGGATGTCGATTTTATAGATCTTAAGCGGGATGACGTCGGTGGTCGGATTGCAACAAATAGCATGATAGCATGATAGAAGTTGCCTAAACACGTTCACTTCTATAAGAAACAAGATCGAAATTGTATCTAACTAGTTAGTTAGTTATAATTTGTTGGTTACATGTATGTTTAGTGGGTACACCGGGGGGTGCAAGGAGCACAATTAGGGGGGCATGTACTAATCAAAAGAATACTCCCGAGGTCTTTTCGACACCTTTATGCATCCTATTTCTAGTAAGCCATCCATGGATGGTCACACACTGCATACAACTGTTGTACTCACCTAGAAACGAAGTGAGCTCATCTTCAAGTATGATATAGAACACATTCATTAAATGGGCACGCTAGACCGCATCCCGCAATCCTCATCGCTCATGAAGAGCACGTCAACAATATTCTATCAATTTGTATCTTCAAAATGTTTGATTTCAGACATGAAATATCAAAATATCAAATGGAAAGAATCCTACATATGTACAATACGTATGTAGTGACCTTAGCCACACTAAATAGTACAAGAAAAGTACCACGTGCCGGTATGGCGGTGCTGCGGTAGGCCTAGGTCATTCCGGTGTATTGCGCCCCGCCTACACCTCACCTCTGGTTCATCCTCACCAACTCTCAAGGCAACCGCCGGTCGGCTCCTCACTAACATCTCGGCCTCCGAATCTAATCAATCGATCACAAACCCTGTACCTTCCGCTACTACCGTATCAGTCGGTGTGTTGAGGGCGCTATTCCATCATTCGAAGATACCCGCCCGGCTGCAATGTGTGCTCTATTCACGTAACAACCCTTCGAACTATCGCCTTTTCCCCCTTGATTTAGTGGGGGACCACCTCGATTCACCATGCCCTCCATCCTCAGCGACGCTGACAAGGAAACTGTTAAGCGGAATGTCCCCAAACCCGCCAACAAGATCCTCGCCGTAGCTGTCGCGCGACTCTACGTTGCCTACCCGGATGGACAAAAATGGACTTATACCGGAATTCAAGGGGCTGTTGTCCTGTGCAATGATCTTGTGGGAAGGACTTTTTGGCTTAAAATAGTCGATGTCTCGGTACGCGGTCCATACTGGTGTTGAAAATAAGGTTGGAAGTGCTGACAATGCGTGTTTTATGCAGCCCGCTGGCAGGGGCGTGATCTGGGATCAAGAGATCTATGACAAATTCGCTTACAACCAGGACCGAACCTTCTTTCATACATTCGAGCTCGAAGCCTGTCCCGCCGGCCTGTCCTTTGTCGACGAGAAGGAGGCCAAGACGTTTATCAAGAAGGTGCATGAGCGCGAGAAACATGCAAGCAAAGAGACCACCAAAACCCCGTTCGCATCTACTCGAGGCCAAGGGCCTTCTCCCGTCACCAATGGGAAAGTAGGACGGTCTTTGTTTGGCAGCTTGTTGCATCGTTCGAACCCAGCTCCAAGTGCACCACCGCCGACAGCACCTGCGCCTTCAATACAGGTTGCTCCTCCACCTCCGACGCTGCCCCAAAGCGCGCCACCAGCTAAGCCAGATTTACCATTTGATACGAGTGATCCCTCTTGGAAAGGACTGCTGGATGAGCTTAAGGGGATGGGAATTACCGAAGACCAAATTGCGGAGAATTCCGAATTCATCAAAGCTTGGATTGACCAGAAGCAGGCGGCGGCGGCCGAGTCTGCTCCTGCTGAGGATCATAATATGCCAAAGACTGCTCCTCCACCGCCACCTTCTGCACCTCCAGCTCCGAAAATAACCTCGATCAGTCCTCAAGACACGGGTTCCAGCTCGACAAGCAGACGGGGACCGCCGCCGCCGCCTCCGTCACGGAAAACACGTTCTGAAGCACCAGAAGAATCGGTTTCCCTCCCCCCTCGTGAGCCATCTCCGCCCGCGCGAAGATTCAATGCGCCGCCTCCATTTGCAGACGCAGGAAAATTCGCTGAGCCCGCTGGCCCCGTACCTCCGCGGCGTCCACGCGCAACTTCGAACGTCAATGTTGGGCCTCCGGCGCCCCCGCGACCACCAAAGACACCGATGGACGATAGTCAATACAGTCAATCGAGTCAATCTCGATTTGGAGTACCACCGCCTTTCTCTGGAGATCGCAAAGTGTCTGCGCCACCGGCACCACCCAGCCGTAGCCCTGCACCAGGTGGCCCTCCACCTCCGCCGCCTCGCACAGCGAGCCCAGCAGCACCACCCCAACTGCCCCCCAAAGTGCCGCCCATGAGCACTACAACTGGACCTCCTCCTCCACCCGCCAGAGGCCCCATTTCACCCCCACTTCCACCCCCACCAGCGCCTCGACCCGTGCCAGCTGCACCGTCTTCTCCTGCAGCAGCTCCTCCTCCTCCACCAAGAGGACCAATATCGCCTCCCCCCGCCCCGCCCTCGGTACCTACGTATTCACCTAGCGTTCCTCCACCACCGCCTCCGCCGCCTGGCTCTGCAGCACCCGGTGCCCCCCGCCCCCTCCGCCTCCAGGTCGTGGTGGCCCCTCAATTCCTCCCCCTCCCCCGGCGCCTGTTTCGGGGGCACCGGGTGGACCACCGCCGCCACCTCCACCGCCTGGGGCTCCTGGAGGTGGTGCTCCTCCTCCGCCCCCACCCCCCGGTGGTGCTGGACCACCATTGCCAAAGCCCGCCGGTGGGCAAGCCGATCTGCTGGCGTCCATCCGAGCTTCTGGTGGCCACGGAGGCGGAGGCTTGCGCAAGGTCAAGGATACGGAGAAGAAAGATCGAAGTAAAGCCTTGGTACCCGGTGGTGCTAACGAGTCTTCAGCTACAAGTCCCAATGCAGGAGGCGCCCCGCAAGGTGGTTTGGCCGGCGCATTGCAAGATGCTCTCAACAAGCGAAAACAGAGAGTCAGCGGAAGTGGTATGTCAATCCCAACACGTAAATGCGGATCTGTATGCTAACTATGTTGGTAGATGACGAGAAAGACAACGACGACGATTGGTGAGCACTTAGTTTTCGGTGGGATTGTTCAAGTATTTCAAGATACCAATGACTTTTTCGCATTCTTGCGAGCATTGAGCATTCTGTTTCTTGGTCCAACGTTTTGCCTAAAAGTTTGGCTTCAAGTGTTAACAAAAGAGGGGCAATGCACTTTGTATATATCTTTCAATGGTAGATTCAGTGGATGCGAGAGATAGTCTCAGTATGAGGAAGTCGATGTTTCTTTTTTGTTCTCCTTTCTTAGTCCAATGCCGACGGGGGCCTATGTTGTACATGCACATGCTTATGGCTATGTGGGGTTTAGCCCCACCACCAATAACAAGCCCGGAACTGCCATAACTTTTACTATTATCTCCAAGACTGCATGCAAAGTAAACACTGGTCCACCTCTTGTCTCTCTCCTCCCTGTATCATATTCGCCAGTTCGAGTTTTGCCTCAAAAATACCGATTTTAATCCGAGATGAAGCTTGATCCTCCATCTCTTGGGTCTTTGCCGGTTGAAATTCTGTACTCTATCTTCCGTGTCTTGGACCCTATTGGCCTCATATCCATCAGCCAAACCAACTCCAAATTCCGCACAGTGGTTCAGCCACAACGAACCCATTTACTAGAAAGGTTGCTTGAACTTGAATGCCGAGAAGAAGTCGGAGGAGTCACGCCCATCTTTCGATCCAAGGACAACCACCTCGACCCTGACTTCACGTCAAAAGAATGGTATGCTATGCGCTGGGCCTGTAGTATCTGTCTCCAGATGCTTCCACATACAGCCTTCGACAACCATTATATCTTACGACTGCAGTACCGCAAGCCATTGCCAGGATCTCCGGCAGCGAGTGTTTACACGAGCTGGGAGCCAACAAGAGACGGGAAACCCCGCAAACCATACCATCTACACAAACAACAATCGAACTCTAGGGATGAGGACCAGAAAATCCGGCGTCGGTATGGTCTCGCATCTAAGTGCAACACATTGAGACCAAACCATCCTGTACGTAATAGGGGCGCAAGATTAGCCAGCTTTCAGGACAGCGGGATGATCACATTCCAAGGCTTTAGTCTGGACGAATACTGCAGTATCACAGAAGAGGAAGAGCAGGTTCTCCTAGACCATGAAGCACGCCTCATTGAAGGAGAGCGTTGCGGTTTCAAGCGGCACTTGCGCAAGTGCAACGAGTGTCGATTCCGGCGCAGTGAGCTCTCAACTACTGTGCAACGAGGCACAGACAAGGTACCCATAGTGCCGAGCCGTCGTCTGCCATTTGCCAGTGCCTTGGACCGATGTTTCCCAGGTGTTTCCGCCATAATGAGAAGTGTGAAACCGGCCGCGGATGCCCCTGTTCAACGTGTGTATCGCAACGACGTTTTTGATTCTCTCTGGACTATGTACATGGTACGATGCCCGGAATGCTTGCGCTGGCAGGAAACGCGTGCGTTTCGTCTTGGTGCCTCTTTCAATCATTGGACACCTACCACCGACTCTGCCTCGGAGTTCAAAAACTGGGACGAAACCGAGATCACCGGAAATTTTATTGATGGTTTGTCATGTAACCATTGTTTTGCTAAAGATCAAGGGCGTGAAAATCTTGGTGCAGTACTTGTGAAATGGTTGGACTGCTGCTTGGATAGCGAGCGACGAGAGCTTGGATATCTGCTTTTGGGTGGCTGGGAGAGACTGGTAAGGCGATTCCGGCGGCTTGAGCAGGTAAGCGACATCATTGATGTTAGAAATGTCATTTTGGGCATTCAGCTTGTTGTTGCAAAGGTTCAGAAAGATCACGATTATCTCAAAATTGGCCTCGCCGATATCTTGACGTTGAGGCTGGGCTTTCGTGAGTGGGTTACTGTGTGGGAGAACTTAGACTCCGAAAATCGAAGTCATTTGGAACACAACCCCTGGGATGACCAGTGGTTCAACAACTATGAGTTGATTGAGGCACACTTGATCTGGGTGATTCAATGCAAAGGGGAGGTTATGGAGAAGGACAAGGGTGATGACCTGGTTGACTGGGCACTGGGCCGAGAAGGAAGTGCTTTAACTTAAGCAGTTGATATCAGTCAGTAGCTAGGTAGAATCAATATTCAAAATCTCGGAGTACAAGACATTGGAGAAACAGCAAGCGGTTATTTTATAGTTCTACAACAATTGTATAGTACCGATTTTCTCGGGTCAACATTGTTCCGGACAACCGAAAAAAAAGCGTAACTGATCTGATCGGGAGAACTTGTGATACAGCTCGGCCGATAATTCAGAGACATGCTGTCTCCGAGGCTGTCTGCGCCTTCTGCCTCTTTATTGCGCTTCCTACGATCACAGTCTGGGTTCTCAGCCGCACCATCAGCATGCGCTTATCCGAAACGTCTTGCCAGCCGCGATAAAGGCTTCTCGACAGGACCATCCCCGAAACTCTCAAGCTGGGCGCGTCTCGATGCTCCCCATAGCCCCGCAACACTTGATACAACACTGTGCAACAATCAATATGGAAAACCGAACCCCACTAGAGCAACAGTGTCACCGCCATTGGTGCCTACGCAGCTGAAATTCTCGCGTCATGCGTCAACCAAAAGTCGACCCTTTCTCCGACGTCTTTTTGATCTTAAGCGGAATAAAGCTTCCGACTACAAGAATCAAGGCCCGGCTTCCCCTGGGCTTATGGATGAAGGGACGGAGGGCATGTTCAATATTGGCCGCAGCCTATCAGCCAAAGCGTCAAATGAGCTGCGAATTCGATGCACGGAGTTCGATATCAATGGAGATGTCACACTCGTGAACGGAGAGTTCCGGAAGCAGGAGCTGATTGCCAAGGTTGGTAAAGAGGACTCCAGTTTGAGAGTCCAACATTTGCTAACCGGTGAATCACGTTATAGTATGGCCTTCTTCCTCGAGATCTACGCAAGATTGATTCCTCGACTCTCCCTCATATCCTGGTGCGACCTAGGGCAATTCTCATCAATCTCTTGCATCTGCGAGTTCTCATCAAAGCGGACCGGGTACTCGTGTTCGACGCCTACGGATCAACAGACTCATACATGCAATCGCTGTTCATCTACGATCTAGAAGGAAAGCTCCGCCAAAGACAATCCCAGGGTGCCTCTCAGCCTAGTCAATCGCTGCCGTACGAGTTTCGCGCGCTGGAAGCCGTTCTCATTAGTGTCACAAGTGGCCTGGAGGAGGAGTTTAATGGTGTCAGAGATCCCGTCGTGCGCGTTCTTCGTGCACTCGAGGAGGACATCGACCGAGATAAGCTCCGCCACCTCTTGATCTACTCCAAGAAGCTGGGTACATTTGAGCAGAAAGCTCGCCTGGTACGAGATGCTATTGATGATCTGCTGGAGGCCGATGACGATTTGGCAGCAATGTACTTATCTGAGAGATCGGTCGGGAAAGAGCGAGAAGAGGATGACCATCAAGAAGTGGAAATGCTTCTGGAGTCATACCACAAAGTGTGCGATGAGATTGTTCAGGCCAGTGGCAATTTGGTGACGAATATTCGCAATACGGAAGAAGTGTAAGTTTGATTGTTCATTATATGTGGAAAGCACCTCTAACACAACTCAGAGTCAAGGCTATTCTCGACGCCAACCGCAACTCGCTCATGCTCATGGATCTCAAATTCAGCATTGGAACACTCGGCCTTGCAACAGGAACATTATTCTCTGCTCTCTACGGCATGAACTTGAAGAATTTCATTGAAGAATCAGACTTCGGTTTTGGAGGAGTCTCCGTGGTCTGCTTTGGTCTGACTGGCCTCGTCTGTGTCTACGGTCTCTTCAAACTGCGCAAGCTTCAACGGGTCCGTATGTGGGGTGAATCCGGCGTGGGGGGGTCCACTTTTGCTCCCCTTTCCCCAAAGCGCAGCGCACTCGGTGGGAATCGCAATAACTGGCGTGCCGATTCAATCGAACCGGTCTGGGGCAGTCTCCCAGGGGAAGGCAGATCTGAGCGCCTGAGACGTCTCAAAGAGAATGCGGCTGCGGCTGCGGCTCAGGCTGCATCGAGAAACTTAAAAGCGACACCTGCCAATTCCCAGGCTGCTAAGCAGGCATCAGCTACGGCCTCTAACAACGCTCGTGCGGAAAACGGCAACAGTCATGGAAAAGAGACCGTTTGCCCAGAAGGTAATATTAAGCCTGATGCATGATACAGTGATTAAAGTATGTCTAACGGGTTGATTGCGTTGTAACGGGAGCCTCGGCGTTTTGATTTGGATCTTCAACTAATAGCAACGGAGTTGAAGAGGTCTCTAACATTATTGTACATTAACACTCTCCTTTCTCTATTCCCCCCACTCTATGTTTTATATTTTGTTTAGGTGTGAATAGATCTAGAGCATATATGATGACATACCAATACCATTCGTCTCTAGTTGTCGTTTTCCTTGAAAAGCTCTGTCTGCCCTGTTTCATTGGAGCCAAGTAGTTGCTGATCTTCCTTGACAACCTACTAAGATTTCCATACAACATACCCTGTCAAGACCTATGTGCCTAGCCCCGGGGTTCCTTTGGGGTTCCTCATCATACGGCTATATGGAGTTATTCTTTTCTCGCTAATGATCGAGGCAGCCCTACCGAGAAGGCATCGTTGGCTTTGAGGTTCCCTCAAGTCAGTCGTTTTTTGTTATCAAAGCCTTGGCCATTCTGGACTTGGACCACTACCTTCAGGATGTTGCTGCTGGATTTTATACCATTTGTGTTCTTGCCTTCAGGATGTTGAGTTGATGGCCAGGAGGAATAGCCTCATTTTTTGCTATATTAGCGCGTTTACCAACAGCTACTTTGAATCACGAAAGGGCAATAGGTAAGTAACAGGCCTCTAGTATGCCATTGACAGATAACTATTTTCATTTGGGTATCTTATTTAGCCTGGTGTACTGTCCCCTGTCCCTGGTGCAGATTCTTCGTCCGTTCAACCCAGAGCTTAGCAGCTACCTGGATGCCACCATCTTTGGAGCATTCACGCTCAACTACTTCCATGATATTCCTCGAAACGGCATCCCTATGGTCTCGTGTTGCTCGAGAATCTCTAGAACCCAAGTTCTTTAGCCATTTCCTTGTGACCTGCTGTCGACCTCCAATCAACGCCATGTTAATCGCACCCGGAGTGCGTAGCCATGTCTTCTCAACATCGAACCCAATTTCCTCGGCAATACTCATTGTTTTTGCAGCGAGAGATCCAATCATTGAATTCAGAAACCCGCTCTCGGTCTTTTCTTCGATTTTGATTGCACGAAGTGCCCTCAAGTCACCAGACGCAGGCTGTAGATTCTGCTCGATGGCATCATCGACTTTCCTTGCGGCATGAGTGCCATTCGAACTCTTCTGTATTGGACCAGCCTCCTTTGGCGGAGGATAGCGATATGAAGAACCAGCAAGTGAACGAGAACAGCACGGAACCACAAAGAATGGCAATGGCGACGAAGGACTTGATAGGGCGGCCATTATAGGAGTCCATACGGTGAGCTCATCTGCATGGTCGGATATGATAAATGTATTATCCGGGAAATCGCCGGTGTGTATCTCCATTCCAATTTCTTGCAAGTCCAGTACATCCACGAAAGGCCGAGGGATGAAAATCCTCTCTTCCAAGCATTCCTGTATCTCGGTTGGAAATGTCTCCCAGGACTTTCGACGGCAGGCGTCAAAGCCTAAGCCCTTGTATCCTTCCATGAGAAGTATGTACACGAGAATACCATTTCCACAAGCCAGGTCCACGAACCCTGGGAACGGCACTGTGTTCTTCGATGATTGCTCTTGTTCTGCTGCTGGTATAGCGCCGTACATGCTCCTCCACAGTTCAATCAGGCATGCAGCGAGAGACAGCTGCTCAAGAGCTTGGTTGGGTGATTCAAGTTGTTCAACCCAATTCTGGCGCAAACTTTCGGCATACTGGAGTTTCAGCCGGGCGTATGTGTTTTGAATGAGATGTGCTGAGACACTGTCCCCATCTTGACCATCTCGCTCAACCCAGTCCAGGCTCACATTCCTAGATGTGAGTCGGCGTTCCATGTTGGTGATTGCAAATACGGTATGGATATTTGTCTGGCAGAATAATCGACAACTTGGCCTCCCACTTGATGCAAAGAGTATAAACAAGGCGGAGAGAAAGGCGGTAGACTCCATCTATAGAAGCGTTGCATTGGAGACTAGAAAGAGTGCAACTGACCTCAGTGGTTTATACTCTGTAGTCAGGTGAGAATTGCTAGCCTGATCAACATAGCCTTGATGTCGGTTATAACAAGCAATAGAGGACCATCGTCATATCGCCAAGTTGCAGAGTACCAAGACTAGTTGATTGAGACAAAACAAGAACCTTAAAAGCCTACATGCAAAATATCAATCCAGTAAGACAAATTGAAAAGTACATCAAGTGTATTCCCATCGTCAAGGAACCGCGATGTACAGATATGTGCGCGTCAACCCGCGGTAAGACCCAGAATGGCAGTCATCACTACGCAATGCTAAAACAGCATTATAAACACCTCAACCTCATAGAAGAGAAAGAAAAATAAATTCACCAACCCAATTCCTCCCAATTCGCATACTCTATTGAAAAAAAAACTACCCACCAAGCCAAAATGAAGCTGATCCAACAACCCCTCCTTGCCCTAACTCTGCTCCTCCCAGCAATCATAGCTGGCCACCCTACCTCACGTCCTCCTGCCGAAGAACTCCAAGCCCAGAAGCACAACTGGACCTTTGACCTATTCCACAACAAGCACTGTGTTGGCACTACAGTCAGCTACGCGGGACAGGGGTCCTCGGGCTGCCGCACCAACCTCGAGAACGGAGGTGCGGAGGCTTTCATCAACGTCGGTATCGATCAAAGCTGTAAGGTGAAACTGTTCGGGGATAAGAAGTGTTCACGACATGCGATGATCGAAGAGATCAAGACTGAAACCACTACAAAGTGCAAACCTATCTCGCGGAAGAAGACGGCCCACAGTTTTGAGGTATCTTGTCGGTGATATCTTGATATCCTATTCGGGGTGGACTATTCAGCGGACTGGGAGGGATAGACCAAAAGATAGTCTAATGTTTAATTTACTAACAAGCAAAGCCAAATTGTTGAAGCTCAACTGCTGCACATGTACTTCGTACAACCTTGGAATTTCGTAGTAGAAAAAGGTGATAAGCCTGTTATCAGGGTCCACCATGACGCAAAGAGACCCAGCCCTGAACCTGTACTTGAACCGGATTCTCTCAATCTTCACTCCTTTTTCTTTCTTCTCACTATATTCAATTCAAATCATCACATACAATGGCTCCCCGATGCTTTATTATCCGCCACGGCGAGACAGAATGGTCGCTTAATGGCCGACACACCGGTCTCACCGATCTACCATTGACAGCCAATGGAGAGAAGCGCATTCAAGCAACAGGCAAAGCCCTGGTCGGAAACGACAGACTAGTTGTTCCCAAGAAGCTTGTTCATGTGTAAGAAATAACCTGTCTACGCTGCTGATCATCATTCCACTCCAAAAGCAACTAACACGCCGCTCTAGCTTTGTCTCGCCCCGCGCCCGCGCCCAGCGTACCCTAGAGCTCCTCGAGCTTGGCTGTAAAGGGCGAATGCCTTGGAGTGAACAGGGGAAGCCCGAACACAAGGAGGCGATCCGGACCGAGGCCGAGATTGAGGTTACGGAGGCGGTTAGAGAGTGGGATTACGGGGACTATGAGGGGTTGACGAGCAAGCAGATCCGCGAGCAGCGGGCTGAGAGGGGCGAGGCGCCGTGGAATATTTGGACCGATGGGTGTCCCGGTGGAGAGTAAGTGGTTCTTTTCTTGATTGTCTGCTGGTTCTAGGCCTTTGCTTCCAAGCTACGCGTTGAACATTGTTGTGGTGTCGTCTTCCCATGCTAACTTCCATTCCCCTCCTGCCAGATCCCCCGAGGATGTCATTCGCCGCCTCGACGCGCTGATCGATGAGATCAAGAACAAATACCAGCGTCCCTGCTTCGAGAACCCAGATGAGCCCAAGGGCGATGTCCTGGTTGTTGCACACGGCCATATTCTGCGTGCCTTTGCCATGCGCTGGACTGGGAAGCCGTTGACGGAGACATCACTGATTCTCGAGGCTGGTGGTATAGGCACACTCAGGTAAGACTCGGCCTTTAAGCAGAGAAAAATTCCTCTTCTGCCGTAGTATATGGAGCACAGCTAACATGACTGGAAAATAGTTATGAACACCATAACATCGATGAGCCAGCGATCATTCTCGGTGGACAATTCGTGGTGGAGTAAGATAGCACCTCGGTTGGATAGAGAGAACAAAGGAGAAAGAAGGTCATATCTCTGCTGTTAGATATTGGACATATGTTAGCATAAGTCATGGAAACCATCACCCATGGCCCATTGTAAAGCAGCGCATCACAATCATGATCAATCCGACTCACCATATCATATCAAATCAATACTCAATCATTGACAATTCATCAATTCAATCCTCATCACTCTCCTCCCTCTTAATTCCCCCCTCTTCGGAATCGACCTTCTTATCCTTGTCCGCATTTCCCTTAACCCCCTCCTCTCCCAGAATCTTCGCAGACCCCATAAACAGCGCCCCAGAATACCCGCCTAGGAAACGTATGTCCCCCGCCTGCACGGCGGTCATGCGGAGTAGATTCTCTGTGTCGGCGAGGTTGGCGTTGAGCTGTGCGAGCTGGGAATGGAGGTGGGAATATTGCCGCGATTTGGCAGCGGACATAGACGGGGTTGAGGTGTTGGAGTTATAATTGGGGGTATATGTAGTGTTTGGGTTTGTGTTGAATGTGTGGGTTCCTGTTGTGTTGTAGTTGCCGCTTCCTGGGAGAGTTGAAGGGCGGGAGTAGGTGGTGTTTGATTCTTGGCGGCGATGGATTGGAGGGGGTGGCATTTTGGGTATGATTTGATTTGGAAACTGGCTTGAGTGGGAAATATGGTATTGGTGTGCAGGTTGGACTTTGAGGTTTGGTTGTTGCACATTATTTGACGGCGGGATTGTTTACTATCAGGCGATCACGTGCCGATACAGATACTCTATCTTATACTTCGGAGGAAATGCATGAGGCATTAGAATCTCTCATGTTTATTAAATATGTACTCGGACTGGAATAAACTGTAGCAACCTCAACGATATAACGGAAAGGTCTATCAATTCGTGTGCTCCTTGGAAGAATAAAGTGCTGTTCAAAAGACGCAGCGAAACTCAACACTGCAGTGCACCCTTCATTAATTTTCTCAGCAAAGCGCGAACCCAGCAAGCAGATCAACACAACTCAATGAACCGAATAAATTCAACCCCCGCTCTTTTGGAATGCGCCAGAGACCAGACCAGACCACAAAATCAAAGACGAGGCCGTTTGCATCAAGCCGTATGAGAGACAAGGAAAAAGACATGACAAATGAAGGAAATACCCGGGGGGAGCGAATGATGATAAAACAGACAAAATGAAGACAATAGGCGTATACGAGTCTAGATGGGAGGGAAAAGGAATGCGCCAGCTGATAGTATACAGTCATGCAGAGAGATGAAAAGGTGGGCAGGGGAGCCGACAACGACGCTATATCGACATGCTGTAAAGATGAAAAAGGAGGTAGGAGGAAGAGAAACAGCAAGGGTAAGGATGTCCCAGTCTAGGCTCGCGTAGTGGCCTCATTAAAAATCGATAATGCCGCGAAACAGGATGAGTATCGATGCAGAGCAAATCACACAAAAAAAGGACAAAACACGCACGCACACCCCGTTATCCCAACCGCACTCCGAAACAGAAAACAGAAAAATGAGCAACGAATACCCCTATGTCCCTCATGTATATGTAAAGAAGCGAGCAACAGAGTATTAACCAGTGCTTCGAAAGCACGGGACCGAAGAATAAAGTCCCCGCATAATGACACCATGATGCAAAAAGGTCCAAACATGACCAATTTCGGCGGACGATGATCGTCCAAGCCGAGGAAGAATGCAATGCCGAAAAGGGAATTCAATCATGGAACGCCGGTCAGCCGTTGGAAAAGGCGGAGAGAAACCCGTTTTTTTTTAGCGAACGGGCGTCGCAATCCCCTGGCCGCCGAGGCTGACCTGACTGCTGTGAGATGAGGGTTCGGAATCAATATTTGCACTGGCTCCACTATCACCACTCCCCGCGCTGGCGCTCGCACTTCCGGTCAGATTCTGATTTTTAGGAGGACCCTTAGCGGGGAACGCGTTGCTCACCCCATAGTGTTGCTCAACTTGCTGCGGCCCAGTCGCGTTTCCTTGTCCTGGAGGATACCGCGGCACCGGCGTACGCATGTTACCAGGAGGTGACGGCTGGCCATTGTGAGGTCCACCAGGGGGGCCAAGACTGTGTTCACGCGCAATTGGAGGGCGGCCCATCCGGGGGCCTCCTGGGCCAGGGGGTCCATGGGATCCCGGGGGTCCGCCGAATGGAATTATAGGAGTCTGGCTGTTTCGCCGGCTTTGTGGGAAGGGTCGAGGTGGGTAGTCGCCCATGTGGCTGGCCGTTAAAGAATTGGCTCGAGAATCCACGTGCATCTGGTTTCGGTCAACGGCTCCATATCTGTTGGAGGAGTAGCTCATCATGGGGTTGTCCATGAGTGAATCATGGAGACCCGGAATTTCTTGCATCACACGTTCACTCGTGCGTTTTCTGCCAAAGTATCGGTTGAAGGCTGATGAGGAAGGGCGGCTGCCTCCAGAGGGAGGGGCGTTTACACCGAATTCGGGGTTTTTACGGAACTGGCTGTGGCTGGGGGGCCCTTGCGCCCTCGGCGGGAAGTCATGCTCATCATATCGACACTGTCAGGGTCGATGTGAGGAATCGCCATGTTATCCATCGGGTCGAAGTAATCCTCATCTTCTTCGTCAAAGGCCGTAGCAGGACGGGAGGGAACCGGTCCACGACGTCCTGGGCCCGGAGGGCCCGGAGGGCCTCGGCGCATGCTCATCTCCTGTTCACGCAGCTGCAGCTCACGTTGACGAAGAGCCAGCTCTCGCTCCCTTAATGTCAATTCAGAAGCAGGGCCAGGTGCTGGCTCGGGGTACGCATTTCCATTCTGATGCGGTATACTTGGTTCGCCCTGTTCATCATAGACAACCAAATGGCTGAATTCCTCAAGTCCCTCCAATGATGGGTCGCGCTGAACTCGGTTGGCGGGTGGCATCGGCACCGGTCCACCTGGGCCTCTCGGCATCATACCAGGGGGTGGGCCTCGTCTTTGTGGCGGGGGCATGCTCATGCCCGAGGGTGTTCGGCTTCCACGCATAGATGGCGGGCCACCATTCATCATGGGTCGCTGCTGTAGAGGTGCGGAAGACAATCTGGGAGGCGGCTGACCCATGACTGATGCAGGTGGAGACTCCTGCCGGGGCTTGTTCTGGTTTGCGATGTTGACGTGGTGTAGCATTGCGTACATTGTTTCGATTCGGGGAACGCGAACATTGGACTCGATTGCCAACTTGATTGGTGACCCTAGGAACGTCTCAACTTCCATGGGGCGCCGGCCCTGGAAATCTGAGTACATTGTGGTCGGAGAGTCCAACGCAATCATTTTTTGGACCGTCTTATCCCGGAAATCGCTGGGGAATGAGCAGCCGTGCGCAGAGGCAAGCTCCACCATCTCGTCAATGATGCCCATTACTAGTGAACGAACACCGGTTTTTTCGAGGAGTTGTGTATGGTTTGGGGTGTCGAACACGACACTCGCGGGATGGAACGCGATCGGGCTGGGAGACATTAGAAAACGCAAATTTTTGATTCAAGCGAATCCAAAGGAACTTACCCAATCATTCGGTCGAACTGCTCCTGTCTAATATTATCCGAAACCTTGCAGTCGACCTGACCGGAGTTCAAAGTCATTGCCAATGCCGCCGCCATATCATTCTGGATTGATGTCGGGATGGAGGAAGATTTGTTAGTTGCGCCCACGTGAATCTCGCTCGAGCTCAGATGTTCGAAGTCGCTGGGGCCCGTTTGGGAGATTTCCACGTTGGAAACGAGAGAAAGGATGACGTTGGTAGGGTATCTTTGCTCAAGATGGGCTTCAATGCCGAGGGTATTTGTGGTATTCACCAGAATACAGGTGTGCTGGGGAGTGACGACGGATTCAATCACGGAGGCAAGGTCGTAGACATCCGGCAGGGCTTTCACGCAGAGGATGACATAGTCGTAGGCATTTTCACGGGATGAGGCTTCTTCGGGAGCACGAACAACTAGATATCAGGACAAGTCAGCCGGGGCTCTGGCTAGGGCTAAAGCCGAGTGTTGAGATCCGAATCTCACCATGTCGGGGTTTGAATCGTTCGTTGCCGAATGCTTTTGATCTGCGGAGGGAATTAGCCATCTGGCTGTGACACAAGAACCTGGATACATACTTGAACGAGACACCGTATTGAGACACAGCATCAAATCCGGATTTCCAAACCAGCGTAACGTCGCAGGAAGTTGTCGCCTGAAGTCGCCATGAGAGAAAGGCAGAGATCGCATTGCCACCGACTACACAGATTTTGGTTAGACGACGAACCATCTTTTTCCCCGTAATGTCCCAGATGTTAAGATCTAGGTTGAAGTTGAACTCACCGGACAGAATGCGCAGACGTGGAGGAGGAGCCATCTCTCAAATCTGGAAGGAACTGGGCGGGAAAGTTCCCAGGTGAAAAGGTCCAGGTTCCCTATAACACGAGAAAACGAGAGAATGGAGGAAAAGAGCGAAGGGTGAGTGAAGGAGAGAAGAGGGAAGAGGATTGGGGGGCAAAAAAAAAAAGGGAAGGAGAGTTGTAATCAGGAAGGATGAAATTCGAATGGAAGTTTAGACCGGGGGGGAAGGAAAAGACAGGGTTGTCCACGTTCAAGTTTCTTTTTGCCGATTATCTTCTCTCTTCTCTATTTCTCTTTTGACTTTACGCTTTAGGAGGAAAAAAAAAAAGAGAGAAAACGATTGAATGCAATCGGTCAACAAAATACCTTTTTCTTTTTCTCCTTGATACTTGCAAGCCCTCAATGATCGTGGACCCCCCTCAGTCCGGAAACGGAAATCAAGGAGCGATAAGAATATTTGACAGAAACTACTAGATGGATGCAGATATTCTTAATCTTCTTCTTGATCTTCTTTCTTTTACTCTCTTTCCGTCTACCTAGGTATTTTGGTTGATAAACACGTTTGGGATCCGTTCTACTCCGTACATAGCAAAAGGCCTAGCCTCTACATCATCTGGCCATTTTGCGGCTCTCCAATATATGGAACAATAGAGAAGACTGGAGTTGTTCTCATATACTACATATAGTATATACTTAAGACACATGGATAGTTAGCAGGTATCTGCAGTTTATAATTATATATAGCAACTTGCATATATTGTATGCTCTTGGGAGTTGGGCATGTGCTCCGTACATATTGGTGCCTTGATAGTCTGATACTATATTTAACTTATTTTCTTTTTCCAATCATACACAACAGTACGGAGTACGGAGTACTGTAATTTTAAATTTGAGTTTACCGGCCCACAAACGTTCTCTCCGATCTGCTTCTGGCGGTTTTTTTATTCTTTTTTCCTTCTCCCGGTATATTGTACTGTTCTTTTGAAGTCTTTCGTTCTTGGGGATTTTCACTCGACGCGTTGTCCACGGGTATGCCGCGTCCGTGGTCTCGTCATCTACCTCCACTCCAAAAATCCACACAAAGTATATGTTGTACTCCATATCTCGGAACTGACGTTGGGCAAGATGGAGACCTGTCAACAAAGTGGCAAAAAATATTTTATAATCGGGCATCGTGCCAACGTACTTTTGTACTTTGTTCCTGAAAACATGTCCGCGGGTTTGTCTTCCGGTATATCATTTAAAACCAAAGTTGACAGCACAATTGTAATCTCTAGTTCCTAAGATCACAACGTAT